ATATATACATATACACACATATATATATATATAATATATATATATATATATATATATATATATATATACACATGCGCGAGCTTTCTTTCCTCATTTTCTTGTTTCTTCTTTTTTTAAATTTTTTATTTCCCTTTTTTTATGTACATACATACGTACATATTAAGTTGTTGTCGTTTTAAGTAACTTTTATGTAAGCGATGATTGCCGATCGATATCAAAGATCACTTAAAAATGAAAAAAGAAATGAAGGAGATACACGCATAACGTCCATTGTAAATATCGGTGCAATAGTAAGACCTAAAATTAATCTTATTTGTCGCAAAGCATGCGTTTAATCGCTATTTTAAAGGGGAAAGCAAAAGGCAAAACGGTAAGAAATGGGGAAACGAAGGAGGGACATGCTTGTTGTTTTCGGTGTCGTGCAATCACCGAACGTCGCTTTGTAAAAGCACGTGCGTGAAGAAATGAACGGAAGTAATAACGGAGAAAAATGAAAAAAAAAAAGAAAAAAAAAGAAAAAGCAAAAGAGGTATATCGATGCGTTGATTCGGTGCGTACCGACTCGCGGAAAACTTGCGTTTTAAGTTTTACTCTTGTAAGGATAAAGAATTGTTCGACGGGCGCACTCTCGCGTCGCGTCCGCGCGAAGGAAAAAAAAACGAGAAACGAAGTTGCATGTGCGCATCGTTTGAAAACCATACTTCGTACGAGACACTTTGACTGGAAAGAAAGAAAAAGAAAAAAATACGAGTATTCCTGTTTGCTGATGGTAATGAAAAAAAAAACAAAGCAAAACAAACAAAAAAAAAAAAACACTAAGTAAGAAGTACTAGTATAGTAGAGGTATTCTCGATATGATATTTTTCGAAGATATAAGACTTAGTTGCGTTGAGAGGACTCATGCAAGAGAGAGGGTACTTGTAAAGTAATCCAGAGGAGAGGGGAAAAAAATGATGGTGCGATTTGTGAAAAGAAATAGAATAAACCGGACGCACAGAAAGAACACGTAGTGTCGTAGAGAAGGATTTAGCGTCGAGCGGAGAGAGATTTAAATCGAAAAAAAGAAAGAGACAAGTGGTACTGTGAAGTGTGTACATATAACAGAAGCGTAGGTTAAATAGAGCGATCAAATGCGTGGAAATGTGAGCACGTCGAGAATATTATATATAGATATATATATACATATACATATATATATATGTATCTTTTTTCTCTAGACGAAATTCTAAAATCGACTGACTATTAATGATAAAAATAATGTCTAAACGATAAACTGTTCCATGGGCAATGGAAAAAATAGCGTTATACTGTTCGACGAGGAACACTAGTATTTTCCGAGATACGAGTAAGCATGTTTTAAGTTTCTTCTTTTTTTTCTCTCTATTTTTTTTCTTTTTTGTTTTTTTTTGTTTCTTTTTTTTTTTGCTAAATATATGTATATATATATATGTGTACACATTGTATCGTTTAACTCTGTCGGAACCAAAAAACGGAGGATAATCTTTTTGATTACTTTACGAGTGCTCTGGACCGACCATTTTACCACGTATAAGTATCCAATTTTATACGATAACTTTGCACCGTTCGATATTTTTATTCGTAAACTATGGAACACCGTCGATTGATATATAGATCTGTTCATTCTATCACTCATTAATTTAACTTCTCCTCGAATTTCATTGTATCTCTCTATGTCTTATTCTCTATCTTCCTCATCCCCCTCTCTCACTCGGTCGTTCATCATCATTATTATTGATTGATTGATTGATTGATTAATGAATGAATTAATTATTATTGTTATTATTTCCTTTTTTTAAGTAAAATAAGACTAAGACATACCAAATGAGAAATGTAAGGACAAGTTTTGTTAGGTTAGTACTAATATCGCATATCAAGAACGCAAGAATACATGCGCCTGAAGCACTCTGTATTGCCTATGCATGTCCCGGTGAAATCATAGCTGGGGCGCACAAGACCACTTTTACTCTAGCAAGAGTATACGACTAGAAGTATTAATATTTAATATTAATAATCAACGCGGATTGTCCAGAATGGATGGTCATGTTTTTGAGGATCAACGTCGAGCCATTTTGAACAAAAGGAAACAAACGAATTTAAAAAAAAAAAAAGAGGACGAAAGAAAGAAAAAAACTGATTAGAGAGAGGAGTTCGATGGTTTCTCCTGTTTCTTTTTTTTTTTTTTTAATTTTCTCAAAAAATTCATCGATTCTTTTTTTGTTTCGTTTTCATTTTTGTTTTCTATCGGCCACTGATCCTTGGAAAAATTTCCTACTTTTTTTTTTTGCCGTCCATACGGACACCAAGTTTAACGTTAGCCTGTTTTTTTTTCTCCCTTTTTCTTTTTCTTTTTCTTTTTCGCAACGTCTCTTTTCTCCTCCCTTTTTTTTTTAACCGATCATCTATTTTTTTCCCCTTTTTTTTCAAACGAATCTTCTTCGCAGAGTACAAATAACAATGGGACTTTTGTTAACCCTGTTGGTGCCATGGATACTTTTTCGAAAAGAAAAAGGGAACGTTTCGCGTCTTTTGTCCTGCGTTCGTTTGCATTGCGTCACTTGTCCTTCTCTTCGTTTCTAGGCACCAAGACGGTTAACGATTATCTTTGTACGATTATTATTAGACGATATCATCGATTCGTTTAATAAATATATATATATATATTTTTTTTCTTTATTATTATTATATATTTTTTTTTTGTTCGTTTAACGAAGAGATCGCGCGTATGCCAAACCGTACGTCTCAAAGACTGATGGCCATTCATTTGGAGGTTCTTGTAATGGTAATCTCACGCTGCGCGACCTTGTAAAACCGTCGACAAGATCGCCGGAGTACATCGACATTGTATGAGAAGACAGGACAAGACTAGCCTATTATTGGCGAACGATGCCCGATCGCCGTGTGCATCGTACAATGAGACTAAAAAAATTGATATCATAATTATGTGTCGTTTGATATAAACGAGTAATGAATATAGTATGTATCATCGTTTTATACACAACCTAATTATATCTACGTACACTATGTACATTCCTAGTATACACTATGTCACTGTCACACACATTTGCATTACACGCGCATCAACAAAAGAAAAAAAAAAAAAAATAACGCATGGACCTATTGTATACGTGTACGCGCGTGTGCATTCGCACGCAGAGAGAGAGAGAGCGTGTACGCGTGCGTATGCACGGACGCGCACGCAGAGACACAATATACATATGAATATATTTATAATAATTATATAGCTATTCCAAAACGGACCACCGCGACATCGACGTACGAAGATCATTTAAAAAAATGAAAAAAAAAAAAAAAGAAAGATACGAATACAAACGAGATAGAAAGGAAAATAAACGGAAAAAAAAGAAAGAAAGAAATCCGGAGGAAAATGTATATGAGGTAACTCTCTCTTAATCGACGATATTTAAATGCGTATTAAAAATAACACAGTCGTCGATTAAAAATTAATCAGCGTTACATTTCGTTGTTAAGAGAACAGCATCGCCGTTATTAGTGTCTCATGTATAACAACGTAATCGAGTCTCTGTCAATTTTACAAAATACACGTGAGATTTCCCGAGTGTATACGTGTATACAAGGAAAATGATGAAGAAGTAAACAAAGAAGAACAAAAAAAAAAGAAGCAAAATGTAATGAAACACGCATGTATAGCAGAAAAGGTTGTTACACTTGAGCACAATAGAGAAGACAAAGTATATGAGTATAGTTTTACACGAAGGCTTTATCGCCCGTTTAGTTTTATACCTGAGACACGAAGAAAAGGCTGAAACGGTTAGACGATAAAAACAGTTCGAAACCCTTCTGTTTTGCATTCTCGTTCTTTCTCTCTTTCCGCTGTCCGTAAGAATCGAAAAGTAAAAACAATACAAAACGAAACAAAAATCAGATAATTTATTTTTTCTTTTTTTCTTTTACCGGCGAATTGTCGTCATATGCACGACCATCCCGTAAATATAGTATACGCGCGCGTTATGCGCATGCGCATTCGTATCGCATCCGTTTCGTACAGTACTTCCTCTTCCACTACTCGTTCGTCCTCTTTTTTTTTTTCTTCTTTCTATCTTTCTATCACTTTCTCCTTACCCCTTTTCGAAGTTTACATTAATTTTGTTTAATTTACTTAATATACACAGAGATATTTTGAAAATCATCCAAGAACGTGGCAACAAGTACCACCGATCGATCGATGGAGCTACATCGCGTTCTGATTATCGCGAGATATCGTTTCTCATTAGCCAAAGCCTAGAATTTGCGTTTTTATTATCTATAATAATTTCCTCGTGCGAACTACATTTTTTTATTTTATTTTTATTCTATTCTATTTGTCTCTCTTTTTCTTTTTCTTTTTCTTCTTCTGCCTCCTCCTCCCACCCCTGTCTCTTCCTGTTCCTTTAGCATTCTATCTCCTTTTCTCTTTTTTACACTCATACACATGGACACAGGACATATATGTTTGACATATTATTATATTTGCTATTATTTTAATTATAATTTCCAAGGAGTATATATTATCTTTAATAATCGTGGTAATTTTTAGACTAGAAAAACATTATATTAGCGGATAGAGATTAAAGTATACATAACAAAATAAAGTAAATATATATATATATATAAATATATATATTATATATATATATTGATAAAAAATATTGAGATCGTAATTAGAAATTGGGTTGAGCGCATACAATGCTGAAAGATGATAATGGTATTTACGCGTAAGGATGTTAAAAAGGTCGAGCAGATGGATTAAAAGCGGTCTTGGCTAATGTTGGCCAAGCTGCTCGCAGAGAATATTCAATGATTGAACAAAAAGAAAAAGAAAAAAAAAGAAGATCAGTAAATGTAAATGTTTGTAAACAAATTATGAAACATTATTTGTTCAGTGCCTACATATTTACACAGTAACAATAAAGATGAAGATTAGCGAATATTCTTTTGTCTCTTTTTTCACCAAGAAGAACGATACGATTTTGATCTGAATCGATCGGGACTTGCAAATTGCCGCAAAAGCGATCCGCCAAGCTATACGAGCCGATCGTTGAAAACTACCGCAATGCGAACGATCGTTTTCTAACAGTATTTTTATATAACTGATATGCATCTTGACATTAAATATAAATGAGTGAAAAACTGTGTCTTCATTCGTAGCCTGGAATATAACGTCTTGCGGGTTTTAAATTATAACCTAACGTCACTGTCGCGGCGAAATCAAAGCGATTCTCGACCATCAGGTGATACACACATATCTCCGATACGGCGCGGCGTTTGTTTCATATTACATCGCTCTTTTGTCTGAAAGTTATATTCGAAAACTTTCGTTGCCAATATTTAATGAAAGCTTAATAAAACTATTTCAAAACCCAAGAAATCGACATCTCAATTCATTTAGCACCAAGAGAAAATGTATGCAACATCTCTTTCAATTTTGGATGAATTTAGCATTTAAGGTTATAAAATTATACACGTACTTACGTGACATTCGATTGTCAATTTGAATATTTCAAGTTGAAAGCGATTAAAATATCGATCACTGTCTTTTTATGGGAATGGTATTACGTTTGTTTACGAATACTGGCCCAAGTATAGAGGCATTATCCCCACCATTGGACCCTTTGGCCGCAATCGTTGGTTACGGCGATCGGTGCCGGTGACATTCTAACTCGGCAGTTGAATTTCGAAACTCGACTGTGCTGGATCGGGACCTCTTGTTCGCTGTTCTACGCGATCTCAGTCTCTTCGTCGGCGTCTTTTTGCGAAAACCCGTGTCTCTCTTATTTTCATTTTCACATCGTTTGCCTTCACCATGCATGTCTCGCTCATGCAGAAACTTCCAATGCCGCAGGTATCGAACTTCTTTTACCCGTTCAACACTAGCCTCGAAGAGGAGATCAAGAGATTGTTCGCCAATTTCACGATCGAAACTCAGAGCACACCTCCTCCGGATGGTAAGTCGCTTTAGCATTGATCAAGTTCAAAGATATTTTTTAGTTTCGCGCAATTTCAAAAGTGTAAAATTTATTGGAAGAAGATCTTTAAATAATATCGTCAACGGAGATCCGATCGAAGCAAGAAAACGCTTTACTGATTTTGTATTGATTAGTAGTGTATATTGGTGACTTTCGGTCGGTATTTCATTATATTTTACGTTCAATTTCCAAATTACGTACGTAGATGGTGTAACGTAATGTTGTGTCGCATTGTGTAATACAACGTAACCTTTTTGCGTCGCGAATCACTTTCATGGCATTCGTCGAATAGAAATTTTATTCTTTCTTCGCTTTCGTTTTTTAAATGAAAAATCGCACAATTTAATAACACGGTGCACTTCACGACAAATTCTAACTCTCGTGTCAAAATATTTTCGTAAATATTTCCTTCCTTTATTAAATCATGTTTACTAGCACAAATAACCTTCAGGTTTCTCATAATCGTTTTCTCGTTATGACTTCTCTGCGACTTGCTTAAACTGTCATTTACGATCATTTGTTTCATTAAAAACAAGAAATCGCGTCACATCAAATCACAGGAAAACACGTTTCTCATTTATGTTACATCTCTCTTCTTGGTAAATCAATCATTTAATGATTAATATTTGACAAGTTAATTAGTGATCACAGCGATTAATTTGAAGTTTCAATATCGCGTTTATAATTCCAATTTGAAATCGCGTGTATGAATCTTGGTGCGCGATAAGATCGCGTTCCGATTAGTAAGCAGGTTCTCCATAGTTTGTAAACAAACAAATCGATAAGAGGAATTCCGAGTTCTAAAACGTTCCATGGAATAGCTTGTTCACGGTCTTTCAATTTCAATCGAATTCATCGAGCTAAGTTGGAAAAAATAAAGCCAAATTATTAAATATAAATATAATAAAGTTAAATTATTAAATCGTCTATTCGTTAATCTGTGCTTTACTAGTGCTGTACGAATGCGTAATGTGTAGTTTTGTTGACCATTTGTTTCTTCAAGGAGAAAAACAAACGAAAGGGAACGAAAAGAAAGTACAAGTGATCGTTCTTGTCGCGATACAGATGTTTGAGATCACGTAAATCTAAATAGAAAATCGTGCATTTTTTGCTTGATTTGCTCGATTTGCTCGATTTGCTTAATTTACATTAGGAAGAGATGATGATAGTGATGATAGTATCTCGACCCATCGATCTGCAATGAGAATATAGAAACTTCATTGTTTGGAAACATGTTATAAATATTATTCCTATAATTTCTTGTTGATTTTTCAGTTCTTGGCAACGATAATAATTATTCGAAATAATACGTGTATTAAACCAATGATATATCATCCATCATCGGTTTTTCGTCGCTCGAAAAATTAGGACGAATCTGTTTACAAACTATGAAACCCGAGACTTTGCGTCCGTTATTTTCTGGACTTACGCTTTGTCGCATTAGGTCTCGAAAAAACTTTGACGAAAATAAACTAGGCACTATATTATCGCGCGTCTTGTGTTTCTTTTTAATTGCTCGATCGTCTTCGAAAAGTTTCGATGACTGAGAACGATTTCAGAAAAAAAATTAATTGATCACGTTCTACCTTCGATCTCGCATATTCTTCGCACGTTGTATAACTTCAATTATTTTTATCTGTTTTTCTTTTCTCTTTTTTTATGTACATACATTGACAAAACGCATGTAACGTTGTTTGACTAATTTAGTCGAGGACGTAATGGAGGAATTCCGTCATAATGGGCGTGATTTTGAATACTGTCCAGATCTGGACAATGATATAATACCAGAAACGACACCACGTCGTAAGAAGAACAAGAAACCCTTGCCCACAGAATGCGTTTTCTGTAGAAACAATGGCGAAGAGGAAGCTTATTACCGGAAACATTTGCTGAAAGATGCTGATGGCCGTGTTTGCTGTCCAGTTTTGAGGTAAATCAAACTTTTATACTTCCGTATTTTCTTTTTAACTCTTTGCGATTGAAACAACATTCAGTATTTCGTTTTAGTTTGTTTATGTCCAATAAGCTACTTCCAAGGTCTATCACAATTTGAATTTACATGTTTCATATTTATAATTTCAAAATCTTACTATAGATAAAAAAAGCAAGTTTGATAATAAAATTTTTCAAATAACAAGTTGCCTAATTATTCTATTTGAAAATGAACTGTATATAAATTACAACTTAAAGTTCATTAATATTATTAATTGGCAAATTATTGTGCAAGAGAAGAAGGTAATTAATCGTGCAATTATTGTCCAGGAAAAGAGACTGAAATAGAATACCGAGTACCGTAGAAAGCCGCAAATGGTTAAAAAGAAACTTGTCGAGTGTTAAAAGTCGCAAATCCGTATTTACACAATTTTTTCTATGTATCATTAGGGCCTACACGTGTCCAATTTGCGGCGCATGCGGAGACGTAGCACACACAGTTAAATATTGCCCGAAGAGTCCGAAGAATCCTGGAACGTTGACGACGGTGAACGCGTTCAAGCTGTTAAGAAACTCGATGGGCAAACGACGCGTCAAGTAAAACGCACATGGCGCTCGAACCACGTGTCACCATCGTAGTGCCATAAAACATTACAAGTATCTGTTGTATTCTTTGAGAACTTCGAAGTGGTACCTCAAAGTTCAACGATTCGAGTATTTCGGTACCATCTGCTGATGGGTAATCTTACCGTCGCCCAAGTATTGAAAACGAATGAAGTGCCTTACAAGAATGTAAGTTCCAACTATTGGCAACTATTTGTGCAACAAAATTGCCATTACGTTCAGCAGTCGCGTTGGAAGCTTTTGCAATTTCTTTCACTCGACTATCTTTGATTTCCTTTTTCTCACATCGTATTTATTTCTTCTCATTTCGTGCAATACGTCCGGAAAGAAAATCAGAGAAAGTGTGAGAATCGTTCAACTTGTAACATGAATCGAGGAAGAGGCTGAAATCCAAAGATCTTATTGCTGTAGAAATTACAGGCTCTTATTGTAGGAATTATTTATATATGAAACGTGCCATATATTCTCGCCAAACTTCTTTTTCCTGTAACAAATTTCTTCCATGCGATATTACGAAGAAATATTTATTCGTAAGTGAATATAGTTTTACCGGTTTTCTCGAGCCAGCACTTCATACGAGAATTTCTTTTCGTTTTCCTTTTTCTTTCTTTTTATTCATATAAGTTTACACGTATTGACAATAACGTCTTAAGATTATACTTCAACAAATTTTTACGCCGATGTGAAAACGAGTTGAACGTGATTGGTTGAAATACTGTGATAATGTCAATAAGGTAAAATTCTTTAAGAGATTTTACGCAACAGCCAATAAGTATGACAAAATTGAACTTATCGTTTAGAATTGTAGATCACACATCGATCGTCTGTAAATCGTTTAACAAAACGCAAATTACGTTTTCCAATCTTAAAAGTTTTTCGAGCGAGGACTTTTTATCGAGACACGTTAATTGACAGAGAGTACTATATATTTAATTGAGTTGAAATGAAACGATGCAATTCTTACACTAGACAATAATTCTGACTTTAAGCGTTTATGCAGTTTTACTTATCTATACCAAATGTGTAACATAGAGACTGCGTTTGTACTTTACTAACGTTTATCCAAAGTCATAAAAGAAGAGTATTTTCTTTTTTCTTTTTTAAGGCTAATTTCTCTTAAAACGATCGACAAGAGGGACCAATGAATGAAAGTCTTTTTAAAGCGCATACTTGATCATTCAATAGCAATTAAATGTAGAATATACACGAAAGTTTACAGCTCGTTCATGATACTTTTAACTTTATTAGACATCGTTTTCGAGCAATGATCGAAATAATTGAAATCAAGTATTGATCTTTAGGCTTACATCGGTGAAACTGGCAGACTTGCAAAGTCCTCTCGTTCCTGTGTATCTAGCCGTGAGTTTCGTTGGAAGTTTCCGAAACAGAGATCACTCGTAATGTTTACCTTTTTGTTCGGTACTTCGATGACTGATGGCTAGATTCGTAGCTCTTTCCAGGCAGGCGGCTTTTTTTGTTTGTCGGTTCCACCGATCTTCCTCGGGACGTGTGTTTCGTTCTAGACACCCATTGCACGCTCGACGAGCGTGCCAAGTCGAATCGAATAAAGCACGTGTCGTTTGTCATATTTAATCACGGATGAACGAGCGAGTGAACGCATTGGTTTCTCTGCGGCGAGTTCGCTTTTGAAATTTCGGATTGAATTAGGCGATAGTATCGAACATTTAGTATATCCTTTATACTCCGTTTGGTAGGTCAATTTCGAGTAATCGGAAACTTCTTTCGTTTGCGTTGTATGTATATTTTTTCATAGCTAGTAGTAATGAGTAGGTTTAACGTTAATTTTCACAAAGGAGTTTTGAATGGAAATTAATTAGTTAAGCTTATGGTATTTAACGAAAATATTTAAGGACAGTTGAGAAAAGAGAAATTGTTTTCCCCAAGATTTAAACTTTACCGACAGGTTTTACAATTGGTAATTAAATAATTGCACAATTGTTTGTAAAAATATTCATCCGCCATATTTTGGATTACACCTGAGGAGATGTAACCTCTTGGGCGGCCTTTTGGTCTTGAAATCGTGTTAATATTTTTTTCGTGTAATTTAATAATGCTTCCGAGGCGCTTGTTTGCACACGTAACGAGGTAGGAGAGAAAAAACAACTGCTCCTATGCTCCTTGCAGTGTGATATTGTTCAAGTATTTGCCCTGAGACCAAATTTCATATCGTAACTTCCTAATTGAAATCTCGAGAGGATAACGAGTTCGTAAAAATGTGTACATTTATTAGATTTGTATTGCTGATACTTTTGTAGCTACGTTCCTATTATATAATAATTATAATAGCACTTACGTGTTAGGATATTATTGCTTATCGAATAAGGATGATAATATTACTCTTGAAGACGTATTATGACTGTCGAATATATCGCTCAAATACTTTTGTACGATAGATTATTAATTGTATTCTAGAGTGAAAAGACTTCACAAGTTCTTCCAAGAACAGGATCAGAACAGGTGGTTCGTACATTTTACCTTCGTCTTTAGTTTTTTTCTTTTTAGACGGTAAACTAGAGATTGCAAATTTAGAGAGCTTGTATACCGAGTACTTTTCGTTACGTTTGTATACTTTTTGAATTTTTTTTTTCTACGTTGAGTTTATTGATGTTAAAGTAGGATTAGTGCTGTGAAGAAATCGTCAATCCCGTAGACAGCTGTTTCTATAATATAGTAACCAAATATGAATTGTTTATAAAGAGTGTTATATTTCTAATATTTATATACCATACCTGCTAGTTGTAATTAAATATGTATTATCTATTGATAGTGATGTATAGCAATCCAAAGGGATAAAATAAACGTGAGGAACGATCAAACGAAATTTCACTCTGTTGAAAACAGTCGTAAACTGTAACAACTGCGATTTTCTGTGATTTTCTTTTCGTATACGTGAAAATGGAAATAATTACGAAGAAAGCCGTATGCATTCGTGCTGCGTGCGCTGTTGGTTGCTACCGTCATACGTGTGGTAGTAGATGATTCACAATAAAACGCGAGATGACGTTACCGTAATCTGACGCGCCAGTGTGGTTTACGATTATGAGCAGCAGGTGATAACGTAGTAATAGCAGCTAGAGGAGAACTCGAACAGTGTTGGAGGTAGCTAATTCCGACGGTTATTACGCTATACTATTCCTTACTCGTTCCACATTCCGTTCATACCCGATGTACCCTAAACACAATTTCCAGTAACCCAACCAGAATTGTACAAATATTAATTTCCACGCGATTATTCTTCGATTGAATGTTCACTTCTTTATTGAGCATATTACAATGGCGAGCGATCGAATTTTGGCAAATTTTTGAGATTCTTCGAAAATAAATGAGAAAGCTAATTTTTGTAGTTGATGATAGATGATGTATGATCGATAGTACGATGGATGCTTATTTATTTTGAACTTGTACGAATGAAAGGAGAAATGTCATTTATATTTTAATTTGATTTCGATCTTTTTTACAATGATGCGCTCGCTATTTCTGTATTGCAATTTTACAGTACATTTTGCATACTACCGTCATAATATATTATACATACATACATATGTATATATATATATATATTTGTATCATCATTTTTCTCATCATTAATGTTATTTGTTTTATTATATTAATATTATTATGTTATTGGCGTGTCATTATTTAAATGTATGTAGTCTAATAATTTGTATCGTGATTATCGATGTTTATAAAAGAATATTGCAACTTATGCTTGTGTCTATTTTAAATTATATAACCCACACCTAGAACTAATCGATATTTAATTGTTCTCTATCAGAAGATCATGTATATAGAAAAAAAAGGAAGCAAATAAAGAATGTCACATTTTACAAGTAAAACCCCTTGCGTGACGATGGATTTCATGGAAACTGTTGTCCGCGTTTTGTACGACACACACGTCGCTGAACACAAATCGTTTCGCACGCCTCTAACCAGTAGAAGCAATTCACGTCGCTGCGTTTCAATGATTAACCGTGAGGATTTTCCTAAAGCTTTTCGCATCGTGGCTAAAACAAAGTGTCTATTTTTTTAATCCGATATTCTCTCGCTATATTCAGGTTTAGTCTCGAGTATAGACGTCGCGAGCATGCGAGTAATTTATTTTCGACGCTGTTTCAAGTTTTATTTACCTTACGCGGACATTAATTCGTGACTGCGTGGAATATTTTATCCTGATTTTTTTTTTTTTTTTTTTTTTTTTGTCGTTGTTGTAGTAGTAGAGTGGTAGTAATAGTAGTAGTAGTAGTAGTAGAGTAGAAGTAGTGGTAGTAGTAGAAGAGTAGTAGAGTAGTGGTTGTAGTGATGTGTGGTGTATTCACAGTAGAACAACGGTGGATTGTGATGTTGTGGTGTTGATTTTGCAGATGCAGTATGTCAATAGATATATATATATATATATGCGTGGTGCGTATGTCAAGATTTCTCTCAAGTGGAGGTGTTGTAGTTTTTTTGATTTTTTTTTTTTCGTTTGAGTGTTTTGTTTCGAGGTTATTATTATTATTATTATTTTTTTTTTTGTACAATAGTAGTAGAGCCGATCGTTTCCAACGATCGATCGGGATGATCCGCGTCGAGTGTTGTCCCGTGACACGATCGCGCGAGCGACGATATAGCCCGCCACGATGAGAAATCGTGCAGGTGGGTGCAGATCGATGACGTGAATGGTCCCCAGCGTCGAGAGATAGTCGGTTGGTAGAAGTAAAGTGTGAATGTGTTCATGTCGAAGAGAGGCGGATAGAGATGAGGAGGGATGGCGGAGAAAACAAGAATACGATTAGAATGTACATACTGCCCCGTTTACTGGGTTTTTTTTTTTTTTTTTTTTGCTCTTCTACCGTGCGCTCTTGATATAGTTTTGCACGCCCCGTATCGCATCTGCTTCGCGGATTCTCCCCGTGAAAAATTCGCGAGGACAATCCGCTTTCCGAGCGGTTACATCTTGTCGCGTGTGATGTAAACGGAGGGTACAAGTTTTTTTGTTCCAACAATTGTTCTCCTCGGACAATGGGTTTAAATTTGAATTGAAATTTCACGTTAAATCTCCATAGAAACTAATATTCATTCATAATAAACTATAAATTTCATTCGCGAATATTATCTTCGTACTTCTACTAATTACTAATTATATTTGTTTGACGATGGTACAGTGTACATTGGAACAAGTCTGTCACCCGTGGTTCAAGGATATACCGAGAGCACACCGTAGATCTACTCACTAATGATGCTAAATTAATGCTACGCTATTACTCGAGAAACTATATCGATATATATATATATATATATATATACATATATAATATATGTGTATGTATATTACAAAAAGATCGACTACATTAAAATGACAGATAGAAAGAAGAGACAGGAAAAAAAGATAGTCTAGCAAGATCGCGCGAGAACAAATGTATGAAATATGCGAAATAGAGAAAGTAGTGTCTTCACGCGACCGCTCTCGAATTTATCGAATCTCCCGGGCAAAGTATACGGCAATACAACGCACGCAACGTCTAAAACGTGAAACTGCAAGAAACGACTAGTGTGACGATGTGTTACCTGTGGCGGACAGCTGACTGGTGCTGTTACTCTTCTTCCCAAGACCTGACTGATACTGCACCGCGCTTCCGCCGCCGCTGCTACTTCCACTTCCGCTTTTACTCCCCGGCGAACTTTTGCGACCCCTTCTCGAGGAGTCCTCCACGTTCAAACCGATCGCCGTGTCGCTCAAACTACCGTCTGACAAACAGATATCGCGTGAACACGGAAACGATAAAATCTACGCGAGCGGAGTCAACGAATCTAACTAGGATGTGCAATTTCATCCAGGATGAAATGGTTACCATATCAGTCAAATTGAAATTAGAGAGAGACGCTCTGTGAGATAAACAGGTCAGATTGGCCGAAAAGTAACTGCGTGTTTCTGTTTCTCGTGTACGAACGAAAGGCGAATTTTCTGTGAGAAACGAAAGCTTTGTTGGACGATATATATTTTTTTATTTTGCCATCTTTCAACTTCGTCTTTTCGACGAAAGAACAGTTCCAAGAACGATTTGATCAGCAGCGATGTATAACAATTCTGATACATTTTTCGGGCACTTTTCTTTTCCTTTCAGTACGATAAAATGTTTCCATTTTCCGTTTTGAAATCGGCACTAAACGAGGTCGTGCAACCTTTTCTTCTTTCTAAAACAGTAGCTCGAACAATAGCTGTCAGGTTGCACGATGAATTTACTGCTTAGAATGAAATTAGTTACGTTTCAAGATACGTGTACGTTTATCTATTAAAAAAAAAAAAAAAAAAGAGCAATTACTTTTTGACCAATCAAAAAATTACTTTCGGGGCACATCTGGATCGATTACGATTGCTACTCGAATTCGAAATTTCTATTTTACAATGTTCCTAATGGTGAAAGTTCCTAGAAAGCAACCTTTTGGCAATGAACGATCAATCGTGTATCAGCGTGCTTGCGAAAAGAAGAAGAAAAGAAAAAAAGAAAAGAAAAGAAACGAAACGGGAGAAAAGAAGAAAATAAAAGACTCACCGACTTTCTCGTCCTGCGGCGCGTCGGTGTTGCTGAGACTCCTGGTGAACTGGCCCCTTTTATGATCGTCGTGCTCGTTATCGCCTGGCTGGCTCCTGGACGGCTTCTCGTACGAGCCCGACTGACTGGTGTACTCGCTGCTTTCGGGCATGGATGAGGATCGGCGATCCCGCGCGTCGTCACGTTGTTGTCGTTGTCGTTGTTGTTGTTGTTGTTGTTGTTGTTGGTTGACGACAGCAGCGGCGGCGGCGGCATCGTCGTCAGCGGCAGTTTTTTTCCGCGAACGCCGTCGGATCGACGACGTCGGGGATGCAGACGACGTGGTCACGGCGTTATCGTCGATGTTGCCGCGCGTCGACGATTTCGTGTTTCGTGAGGTATCGTGGTGGTGATCGACGGCCCGTGGGTGGTAGTTTTTAGCAGTGTCGGAGGTAGCGGTTTGGGAATCAAAGAGACTTGAATTAGCGTTACCGGGGTGGGGTGCTCGGTTACGGGGCCTACGCGGATCGCACGGGCCAAATCCGCAGTTCTCGCTGCACTGGCTCTCGCTCTCCATCGAGTACTCGTAGTACTCGAGGGTGTCGCTGATCGCTACGTTCCTCTTACTACCCTGCTGCTGTTGTTGACTCGGATGCTGCTGGGACGATTGCTGATGGCGTTGCTGTTGCTGCCTCTTCTCGAGCAGCTCGAGATCCCTAGCCTCCGGGCAACTGCTATTTCGCCTACGGTACCTATGCCTCGATTCTACCGAAGGTCTCCTCTCTCCTCCGCTCGAACGCGAGAACGAGCCAGACCTACCTAACTCGTACGACATCGCTAATTCCCGACACTCCGGACAGCTAGTCTTACGCCTACCGCGATAACGCGAGTCCGACCTAGCCAGCTCGTACCATTCCGCATAGTCGCGTGCCCGTACGTTCTCGTACTCGTATCTTGAGTCTACTACGTAACCCTCGCGACTCGTAGCCTGCCCCCCGTCGTCGTAGTAGCCCCCCGTACTAATACCCTCGCTAATCATCGCGGCCCCGCTCCCGTTCTTCTGGCGGAAACAGTCCGCGCACACGACCGTCTCCATCGAGCCGAAATCCTCGTCCGAGTCCAGAATGAAGTTCGTACTTCTCTCTTCGATCTTTCTTCGCGGTGGATCGTAGTATCGAAGCTCCCTGGCCTCCGGGCAGCTGCTGTTCCGTTTCCGCCGGTACAGACGTCTGGCTCTCTCTGCTCTCTCCGACGAGCTCAGCTCCTCGTCCGAGCGTAGGATCGGCGTCGACTCTGCTCGTTGCAGCATCATACGCTTGCTCTCGGAGAAGCTCGGCACGGTCAACGTGTCTCTCGCGCTCGACACCGACATCTCGCGATACGGCAAGTTCTCGTATACACCTGGACTGACACCGACGTCCCTGCTTCCTCTTCGACTTCTCCTCTTTCGTCGTCGTGGGAACGTGTTGTCTTGGTAACCCAAGTCGACCCGATCACACTCCGCTCCACTGTGCGCTTGATAGTCGTACTCCTCCGCGGAACGATAGTCGCGATAGTCGTCCACGTACTCGCTTTCTACGTACGCTCGCGACGATCTCTTCTTCCGTCTGCCACTTCGACCGCTCTCCCTTCCTCTGTAATAATCGTCCTCGTACGTTACCACGTCAGTTCTCGGGATTCCGCTCTCGTCCCCGTAGTCGTACAATCGTCGGTCGTCGTCGTACTCGTCGTCGACGTGCTCTCTATCGATGAAACCTTCGTCGTACTCGTCGTAACCCCCCCAGTCGTCGTAGCCGTCGTAACCGTTCTCCAAGTACGACTCGCTGCTTTTCGTTCGTCTCCGACTCGAACGACGCGACGCGGCTCTCTGATTGTCGTATCGCTTGGAACGCGCGACCCCTCGGCCGTGATAGGACGTCGTCTCCGCGGACGACAGCGCCTCGTCGATGCTGCAGTAGATGTGCTCGTTGGCCGGGTCGCCGCTGTCGAGACTCTTGGTTCGTTTTTCCGACACGTCACGGCCGAACGCGGGATCGTGCTCCTGAAACGTCGAGTCCCTGTACTTCCGTTTCGTCGGGTCCTCACGGCCGAGTAGAGTGTTCCTCAGGCCGATCTGATCGTCGCTACTGAACGAATTCTCCTCGGAGAGGTCGTACGAGTGGTAACCATCGCCCATGGCGAGATCCATGCCCACCGTGGACGACGTCTGTTGGTCGAATCGCGGCACGTAGATCTCCGTCTCGCCGCAGCTGAATTCCGAGTCGTATCCGTAGAACGGCTTGCTTGCGCGTTCCTGCTTCGCCTGGACGTAGCTCCTCTTCTGCCGATCGAGCAGAATCTTCTTCGGCAGCTTGTTGTCGTCGCCGTTCGAGTCGAAGTACGATTTACTCTGATCGCCGAGGGCCGGTATCTTGTCGCCGTAGCCGGCGTCGTTGATGGCCAGGTTCTTCTTCAGTTTTCGCCGCGCGGTCCTCAGGCTGTCGTCGCTGAATATGTTGCTTGATATCGTGTCGTACTCGAAACTCTTGGCTCTGCGCGAGAGCATGCCGGCGTTTAGCCCGAAACCGTAACGATCGGCGTAGGTGTCGTGCAGCACGTCGTAGTCGAAGCTCCTAGCCTTCGAGAATAAAAAAGATCTACGCGGCCGTAAGCTAACGTCTAGGTTCCTAATGCCGTGATCGTCCGTCACGTCGTGCAAGCCTCTCGAGAACAAGTGGTGCCGGGATTTCGCGGCCCGGCCGGCGGCGCGGTCCTGCCAGCTACGCGACCGCCTACGCATACCGGAGTGATCCAGTTGATAGGGCGACGAGTATCTGTCGCGAAACTTCTCGATGAGACGATCGTTGAAGTCGACCTGAAGGCAATCCTCCACGTATATCTCCGGTATACGATTCTTGGAGCTACCGGTTAGCTCCTCCGGCTTGAGCATGTAACCCTCGGAGACGCTGTACTCGCTGGTCTCCGGGCTGTAATATCTCAGCATGTTCTCGTCGACGGTCTGCGACCTCGTAAACGGCGTACGCATCTTTCTGTACAACGAGCGCACCACTGCGGACTTGCTCCGTACGAGGGGATGCGGGGTGGGATTGTGCTTGCTGGGGTTGTTGCTCCTGGTGGGCTTGGTGGGATTGTTGTTCGGACAGTGACATTCGCTGCAGGGTACCCTAAGTCTGTGCCTGCGCCTATTGCGCCTAGGGGGCAGGGGCATAGGGGATATGACACCGGGTATTAAAACGTTTTTAACTGTCGGTCTGCAAACAATGTTTTTCATATAGAGTTTTAGCGCATCTGCGGATTATATTAAAACGAGATTTTCTATTGTATTTTATTTTATTTCCTTTTTTTTTTTCTTTTCTTGTTATTCTTTCTTTCTGAGCCCATTCCTCGTTTTTCTTTCTTTTCAATTGAAAGAAGAAAAAAAAACAAGCCTCTACTCGCACGTTCGCGATCGATCGAACGCGTTTTCTTTTTTTTCTCATTTTTTTTTTCTTTTTGCCGATAGAGCGTTTTGCGTCTATGTATTACCGTTTTTTTCTTTTTCTTCTACTTTTTTTTTTTGATTTTTTGTTTTTTCTGGTTTCATTTCGTTTCTTTCTATTTTTTTTTTTTTTATTTTTTGTCTTTTTAACAACGTGGCAAAGCAATAGGCGCGAGAGAAAGAGAGAGAGAGAGAGAGAGATCGAGAGATCGAGAGAGAATTTGACACGAGAATTTTGTTGCACTTTTGTCACTCGCCGAACAAATATATACGTATAAAATGAAGGTTGTCTGTAGGACGTGCGACGATTGATTTAGTCTTTTCGTGATTGTACACACAACATACATACAACATATATATGTAATTGTGACGTGTTTCAACGTAGACCTAGCCGTTCGACCAACGCCACGCACTAATCCCTGCTTTGTTAGAATGGGACAACATTAAATGGACATTGACACGGTGCATAGGAGGTGCAATCTAGCCAACTAGAGAACGAAGAGAGAGAATCTCTGTCCAAGAGACAGAGACAGAGACAGAGAGAGAGAGAGAGAAAGAGAAAGAGAAAGAAAAGGAGAGAGAGAGAGCACAGAAGGATATTTTTTCAGGGTCGACCTAATCAAGCAGGCGAGGGTGGGGGGGGGGGGGGGGGGGGGGGGGGGGATGAGACGGTGCAACTACGGGTGTCATTTCATTCGGCAATGTCCATTTAATTCAGGGATTATCGTCGATGAGAAGGTAAGCCATCAAATGTTCCATTCTGCGCGCGGTGTTACATGGTCCGTAACCGGATGATTTTACTCGCGAACGAAAGCGGGATTACGCTCTATTCTGAATGAATGAACTATGAAATGAGATTGGTGGGGAGGAAAGAGGACAAAGGGAAAGAGAAAACGAGAGAGCAAAAAACGAGGGATGGGGAGGGAAGGAGAGAACGAAGAGGAAACGAGAAACAGAAAAAGAGAGAGAAGTGGAGAGGAGGGAGGAGGGAAAGCACGAATTACCCGAATGTCACGTAAAAAAAATGGTACAGTGGATGGCTGTCTCCTCTAAAGGGATACTTTCTTCTCTATGGAACTTGTCTTGCTTTGTACACTGACTTTTGAAATGCAAGGTCATCGACTCGAATATTAAAGTACAATAGACATCGAGCTATACTCACATTAGTCCTCTAGAGCCACGTGGTCGTTCCGATTGCGTACTGAAGGCACTGCTCGTCACGGAGGCTATACTCTCCATATCGGAGTCACCGAGATCGCCAAGTACGTCTTTGTCGGGGCTCAAGTGTCCCCTTCGCGGTCTGGGCATACGGTACGCGTGACTGTGCGGCAACGACAACGGATCGTGATCTATCGATAGCAGATCCGAGTCCGACAGTCCGCTGTAGTGTCTCTCCCAACCTGGAAAATCAACGATAATTCCCGTTGAAGATGCGCGTATCGTCTACAAACTTGCAAATATGTATAGAGATTTTATTTACGGATCAACGTAACACGTTTCTGACACGTTTCTGATACGTTTCCGAACGGACGGGTCGCAAGAATGCCAACGAAACTATACGTAGCTGGCGCGCGACGGTGTTGCGAAATTTATCGTCGAATTTTACACGCGCGGCATCCATCCTTCGATAACCGTTCTGTCGGAAAGTTCGTCGCGGCCGTATCCGTCGCCGCCGAGAATTTTCGGAAACAGGGTCAATTAGCAGCGCGGATTTTCACGGAGGTTCCATTACCGTCCTCATATCGCGAGAGGTATTCGAGAACTTTCGAATTAATAACTCCCTCCCCCCTCCCCCCGCTCCCCCGGTTCGCCCCTCTTCGCGGCAAGCGAAATCGAGGGGAAAAAGCAGACTCTCACCTCCGATGCCCGTGCTCCTGTACGTGGTGTGCACCTGTCTATTGCGGTGCCTTATGAATCTGGCACGTTCCTCGAGATCCTGGGCAGCCCTTTCCTTCAGAGCCGCCGGGATCAGGGGCAGTTGCCTCTTCTTCGGGCTACCGGTTGGAGTGGCTGTCGCCGACCTCGAACTGAATCTGAAATTATCCGTGAAAACCGAACATTTCTTTTATTTTATCGTTCGATCGTTTTAATGTTTTCGGCTCGGCCGTCGATAAATAATTACGTACCTGGGCGGAACGTAACCGTGCGAGTAGGGCATGGATCTGTGTTCCGGCGGAGACAGCGAGCGATGACCGGTGGGACTTTGAGACCTTCCGCGGTACCGCAGGCTCGGCGAGTCCATGGGCGCTGCACTGTGCGACCTGTGGCTCATCATTCCTCGGTGAATATCGTCCTGGGGATTACGGATATTTAAATATATAACCATCACGGTGTTTCCGTCAGGCGAGATCGATAACGCGACACGCGCGAACCGCGGAACGAGTTGAAGATGAGAAACTGTATGTATCAAACTTTGTCGATATTCCACGATCGATTGATCTTAATATGTATCAAACACAATTCAAACACGGAAAGATGATTTTGACTTTAGAATCTGTTAAAGATTGCTCTTACACAACGCTTGCTACGACTTTTCTCAAAGACTCTGACTCATCCAAACTCCAAATCCACGCTGTCAGTCGTGACTAATAATTTACAAACGCAAGCGCGACATCTTGCGTCAAGGTGACGTGGCAAGACTCACCTTGCGGTAGGTCTGGTACCCAGAAATAGACGCCGGCTGGTCTCGTATCATGAGGGCGGCTCGTTTACGCCCCTGCGGCGACATGTCCCTTCGACTTCGATGCTCCCCGTCGACGCACAGCTCCCTCTCCGGCGGGGGGCTGGAATAGTGGCTGCTCCGGCATGCGTGCAGTATTTTTCGTCAGATTAGTGAATCGTCTTGCCGCGCTTATGGCTGTGTTTAACACGTTGAACAAATGGGCGAGTTGTAAGGGGAAAGGCGAGTGTGCTGTGATTCTCGCGCTAGATTACAGAGTGCATGCGGCCAGGCTGGTTCTCATTGGCGATGCTTTTATCAAATATGCATTCTCTACGCTGCGCGTTGCACCGTGCCCGTGGTCTTTTTGTCGACCACCCAAACACCCACACTCGCACACGCACACGCACATACGCGCGCAAACGTACGAAACGAACTGTCGTTTAAGCGACAGACCAAGACACAGGATGCGAGAGTTACTTTGCTACGTCGCAGAAACAACGTAATCGAGAATCGAGAGTTCTCGCCTTCTTTTTTTTTTCAAATATTTCCAACATTGTCAGATTGCACGAGGTAGTACAACCCTTGACGAGAAGTTTCGGGGTCGAACGCAAATGTATATTCGAAAGGCGTTGAAAACCACGTTTCAGCCACGAAACGCCATTGTACTTGTTTATGAAGTGTACGGGAAAATTGTAATTACAGAGCGTACAAGAAACGTACATACATCGAAAGAAGGTATCTCGAGAAGGTATCTGCGTTTATCACCGAAAGCTATTCGTCAGCGGTGGTACCGCAAAAGTATATTCTCCCTTCGAACTTGCTTTGCATCGTGTCTTTCGTCGTCGTTGTGTTTCGTCTGGCTAACACACTGGATGGCTAAGAATTACGGATTTACGAACAGCAAGCGGTGCATCTCAGCGATCGATCAAGCGTTTCGCTCCAGAGGTTCATCTCTCCTTAATAAGTGAATCTCGTTATGTACATCCGTTCGCCGGAACGAATTGTTATCTTGTTCTATACGTTCCGTAAGACAGTATATACTGGTTACCTCGTTTCGTGGACAGAGGGGAGACTGGACGGCGAACCGGTCGATCTGCAAAGTGCAAATACACACATATCGCGGCGCGATTCACGCGCGCGAGACTCACTTCCCCCCGCGAGTTCCGCTTGCCAATAATCAGGACGAAAGTTTGGACAGTGTGTCCTCCAAGCGTTACGAGAGCGAGTCGTGTCTCAGTTGCCAAGAAGCTAGTTGGTTAAAGAAAGGCTTGGCTGCTGTAAACAATGGCCGGCGACGGGGGAGCCGATCAACGCGCGGAGCCAAACGCGTAGAAAGCGAAGGCTAACGGCGGTGGCTGGTAGATCGATCGCGCGCGAATCGCTCGGAGAACGAGTCGTTCCTGGCAACCGGCACGCCAATGAGCATCGCGAAACTCGTCCCCCGACCAACTGGACGTTGCCCAACAAATTTCCACCGACGTAGAAGCTTTCCCCGGGCAGAGGCGGAGGGGAAAGATGAAGAAGAAAGCGAAAGAGAAGAAGAGGAGAAGAGAAAGAGAAGAAGGAGAGGGAAGAAGACGGGAGCCACCCCGGCCGATGCATCCGCGTTGCCACTAAGCGTTCACTAAAAGCCATGTCGTTCGCGCCAATCTAAGGTCTCGTAAAACGTGAGAGAGATGCAAGAAGCGATGACATGATGACGCCTACTTGTGCCTACATGATCGGTGACCTACTGAATCTCTGCGCCCAACTACTTCGTTCTTGCGCTTTTTCTTTTTTTCTTTTTCTTTTTTTTTTTTTTCTTTTTGTTCGCGTTTCTCTTTTGTCATTTCTTCTTTTTCATTTGTGAAAATACTCTGATTTGGGTCTGACAAACAGGGTGTACAGTACAAACGCGGCTTGTTGTTGCTAAACTCCACTTCGTTCGAGGGGGGGGGGGGCAGTTCGGGGTTCGGTCTATCGAATAAAGTTTACACGGTCGGTGCACATGCGACAGAGAGAGAACGATCCGCGTGCAAGCAGTGGGACACATCAAGAGGGCTGATAGAGACAACCTTCCTAGCGATTAACCCTAGAATTCCTGAATCCCTCAGCTGCTACGTAAATTTCTAAATGGACAGTGAGGACTTTTGTACGTCGAGCTGTGCGATGCCTCTACAGCGAATGTCTCTTTACGACATAAATTTCAAAACTCTTATTCTCAAAATCGGCAAAAATTTCAAAAGTTGTTTGAATGTTCTAGGATTAATACTACTAGGGAAGTCGAACGCCGCGTACGATCTCTTAGACAGAAACGCCACGCGTTGACTGTTCGCTCTCGAGCGTGTTTGCAATATATGTATATATACATATCGGTTATGGTCGTCTTAACGAGCGTGTCCCCGCGCGAATTCCCCGCGAGATGCGTGGACAAAGTTGAAATATTACTTCGGCGCGAGGTTGCTCGCGATAACGAGACGGTCCGGGCGGGGAAATAAAAGCAAAGAGCTTATATCTCTCGCGAGGAAGGGAAATTTCTCTGCGAACTCTCCTGTTGCAGTCGACGCACGCGAACACGCTCGAGTGACTTTACGTCGCGAGAACGATCATCCGTCGTCTCTCGTTAGTAACGACTATATATTTGAATAATTTTGCGGATTTTCATGCAAAATATATAAAACATTCTTTAAAATAAAGTACAAAATTGCATAAATATCCGTGATTTAATAATAACGCGAGACCACGACTTCGTCCTTTTCGTCGAGGAGGGGTAAAAATACGTCTGGAAATCTCCTTCGCATAGCATTCTCCGTCACTTTTCTACAGTCGTTCTCGCCGATCCCCGACTCTCGGTATGCGGTCTCTTGCTTCCTCTACACAGGGAGATATATCTGCCTACGTGTGTCGATCATGTATCACGTATCGATTTGTAGTTCACGGTAGTATTCATCTACACGCGGAGCGCTATTTAACCTAGCATGTGTGAATGCAGGGAAACGTGTGTAAATGGCTGCGTGACTCGTGAGAGAGAGGAGGAAAATAGAAGTTTTAAAATGGCCGTACCGCTTGTAATTTGACGGCATATTACGAAACCTAAAAAATAAACAACAGAACAAAGATAAATAACAAAGGAAATCAATCGGGCGAGATCGTTAGAGAAATCATTGTCGACGAATCGTTATCGTTATCGGAACCGATATTGTGTCACTCATCTGCGACTGAGAGAAAGAAAGAAAGAAAGAAAAAAAAAGAGAGAGAACGGAACATACGTACACACACACACGCGCGCGCGCGTCGAAAATGGATTGAAAGAACGTAGCGGTGAAAGAAAAGAGAGTGATCTGATCGTGCGACACGTCGCGGCCGCCGACTCGACCGACGATGGATTTATTAATGTAACCAGTGAAACCCCTTCGGATAATCCTGTTAGGCGATATTGAAGGTTATTAAATACCTGCACGCCTCGCGGTTCGCTCCCCTTCCGGTACGCTCGCTGGGAAAACGTTTCAATTATTCGCGCGCGCATCTTTCGTTTCGCGGTTTTCGTTTCGGGCGAGCGTTTGTCTAGTCGCGTCGCGTCGTCGACGCCGTTTCAATGGGCAGAGTGAAACAGACAGAGAGTGCGGAAAGAAGAGGGGGAGTGGGTGAAGAAGAAGAAGAAGAAGAAGAAGAAGAAAGAGGAGAAGAAGAAGGAGAAGAAGAAGAAGAGGGGTAAAAAAATTGGTCAGCGACTCGCAGATTGAGGCCAGCGTGGATTAACGAAGCACGCGCCGTTCCGATTCGTTTCTACAGATTCCTCGGGCGTTGTTGCGAGGCGACCTCGAGGCGACCGCGGAAACGCGCCGCGCGTTCGCTCGATGAAAAAATCGGGGGGTCCAGTGCGAGAAGCAGCTACAGGTAATTAATAAGTTAATCGTAAACGAGCCGCACGACGTTCGATTTCTCGAAGCACACTTCTGAGACACACCGCGAGACGGTTTCAATTGAAATTGGCGAACCTTGTGATCAAATACGTTTTAACAAATATGATCTGAACTGATTTTGATCTATGGCAGTGCCTTAGCCAAGTAATTAAGGATTAATAGTAAGAATCTCACTTTTCTACATTTTCTGGTTTCTAACTGCATCTTGCAACGGACCTCTCGATCAATTGATCAGACGAACGAGGAGAGTGGGACAGGAGAGTGGGTCCCCGGCTGTCGAAACTTTCCACCGGCGAAGATCCGACAACTTTCTCCCTCGTGTGGGTTTTCCACGCTGTGTCGTGCAATTTTCAACGAGGCCCCGGTCTCAACTTTCGGATATTATTATTCGAGCACCCTCGAGTGGAAGAGGGTCGGGCCGCCAGATAAGGCGATTGATTGCGAACGAGAAAGCGAACGAGACGGAGCGTAACGCCGCGTTACAACCCTACGAGAACACGCTCTCGAGGGAACGTGCCTCGGGAATTCCGTTCGTGTAAGCATCGTCCGAACGAGGAACGAATTTGCAAAAGATCGGGACCAATTAGAGCTGGGAATGGTAGGGCGAGAGAGAAAGAGAGAGAGAGAAAGAGGCACAGACACGGGACAAAGCGGGCGGGTCGCGGTCGAGCACGGTGATTCCATCCTTTCACGATATTCTCGTTCTTGCGACACAGCAGCACGACCGTGGATCTGGTAACCTCGTGGATGTTCGATCTTTCGCGGTTGTTCGAGTGGCCACCGAATTAGGGCCACGAACAATTCGAAACGACACTGTGCACGATAATTAGCATGCACTCGCACGTCACACACGTCACCGTCACGAACATCGACTGTCTGAAACACTGACCGAGGCACTCGAACGGAAGGATAAAGCAGGCGTAAATCACCGAGCTAGATCCTCGAGGTTTCCAGGAAAAAAAGGAGAGAGAGAGAGAGAGAGAAAAAAAGGAGTCGATTAACTCGCCACAGTTAGCGGTGACACCGATAGCCTCGCGAGCCATTGAATTCGAAAAAGACACCGGTGACCACGAAATTCGGAAAGGAAATTGCACGAATTTGCGGGGGTCGGGCTCCTCTGTGCAAACGACAAAAAACTTTATTAAGCGTCTGGCTCAAAGTGGATTTGTTTAGACACGCCGGTCTACCACCGGCCTGTAGCCGTGCGGATGCCTCGATTCGCATCCTCCTTTGTTTTTCACCTCTTTTCTCCGCCAGTTTGCTCACCCTTCCGTTTTCCACCCATTTCGGTTCTAACTCGCCGCCACTTTGTCGATAGTCTGTGTTTCTATCTTCTTTTTTTCCTATCTTTCACTCTCTCTCTCTCTCTCTTTCTCTCTTTCTGCCTCTCCCTCCTCTCTCCGCCGCTTCTTTGGAGAAAAATAAAGGATCGAGAGGTTCGACGGAAAAGCACTTTGCACTCACAAATAACGATCGGACGTCATCGTTGGAATATTAATATGGATCAGGGGCTCAGGGGCTGGCTTCCGCAGCCAGCGGTGGTTGCAGGCCAACTGGCATGTCAATTGGCTTGTTGCCCAGTTTTATAACTTGGCTCTCGGCCTCTCTTCCCTCCCTCTCTCTCTCTCTCTCTCTCTTGCCTTTCTCCGACTCTCTTTCTCGTTCCCGCGTTCCTCCCCCGTTCTGCTGCACCCTTATTCGCACCCCTTGTCGCCCCCGCCAGTATTGTCTTCGTCCCTCTTTCGTCGGCTCTGTGGTCGTCGGCTTTACGTCACGACGACGCCGCCTTCCGCGAACACAACACGCAAAAACTTCCGTTTGTCTATATCACTCTCCGGATCATCCGGAGATTCACCCTTCGTGGAAATCGGTGGCCTTCGTCGATTCACTGACTTTCGCCTTTCGTGCAACACTCCGCTCCTCTTGATGCGTGCGAAACGTTCTCTCCGCGACTCTTGGTGAAATCTCGGCAATTCGGCTGGAGTAACGAGGAATCAAACACTCTCTCCTATAGATAGAACAAACACTGTTGGTCGTTCTCGAAGCGAACGTAATCCTTTCCAAAGCTAGCCTTCTCGCGACGTTTCTTCCAAAGTCGAAATTTTTGAATCCAGCAATTGTCAAATTCAATTGATCGAGGAGTTCTCGTTGGGGATCGATCAGTCCACGGCGCTGAGGTACGAGTTGCGCTATCGATCTTCGGCCATCCCCTTGCGCACACCTGGCACGCCGTGTGTCTTCTCAATGAACCGGAAGAGGCGACAGCGATGCGAGGAAGAGCAACGACGCGTGGAGAGAGGGGGGGTTAGGTTTGAGGGAGGGGTAGGACGCGTTCGAATCGCGAACCGATCTCTCTGGCGGTAGCGGCGTCCTCCCGTGTTACCGACGATTAACCACCTGCGCTGGCTAGCAACTGATTGCGGACCATAACGAGTGGCCAAACCGTATGACAATAATTCGTCGCTGTCTTTTTGAACTTGTCGGTATGAGATGTCACTGGATAGCAATTATTGAGAAGCAATAAATTCCTCATTCGTTTTTTAACCTTGGGTTATACTTAATTACACTCGAAACTGAGAAGATATTGCAATTTTGGGGACACGAAGTTCTCGACGTGCGTGGCGCGTCATTCTAGCGCAGGAGGTTAAGAGCCGGCCGCGCGCCACCGAGGGAATAACCATTACGACGATAGTTACGACCGGTCGGTTAGGTTACGAGACCTGTAAACGAGATCTCAAGTCGTGAGTAGGAACATTCGGCCAGATTAGTAACGAGCGATTCCTGGTTGGCCAAGGACACCGGCACACTGCACCCGCTCATTAATTCCTGACGAACCAAACACTTTGGTTCAACCGCGTAGAACCTTGCACGACACAGCTTCCTCTCTCCCTGCCCCTCTCACGACAAATTGTTCGTCGCCTGTTCAAGACGGTTTGCGGATCGATTAACGGGGAAGCGGCGCGTATTAATTCCTTCAGCTCGCGAGTTTGAAACCACCCCACGGTTCGTTCGCAAGTACATTTTCCCTTTCTCCCTTTCTTTCTTTCCTTGACGCGTTGACTGTCACGTAGTTAAGACCGACGTATTCGCAACACGTTCCAGAATGAATCGAAACAAAACGAGTGTCATCTTCAGCAAAGGAATTTTTTAAAGAAGTCAAATAGTCCCGTGGGACGTTGAAAGTAAGAATCGAACGTACTGCAGGACACGGTCGACGTCTCGAACTTGAAGGGAAAAGAGGTGTTAATTTCAGAAACGAGTTAGAATTCGCTGGAAAGAAAGAGTCAGCTCACATTTAGAATGTTTCTTCTTACACAGACGCTCTCGACTGACGTACCGAGATGGTGCTACAAACAGAAAAGATTTATCAAAGCGCACTCCGCGCGTGTCTGCATGCAAACCAAAGAGTAACGTCTACGCGTATGATGCAACTAAACGCAGTTGCGTTCTCTTTAAGAGGGAACGAAAGAAAGGGAAAGAAAGAAAGAAAGAAAGAAAGAAAGAAAGAAAGAAAGAAAGAAAGAAAGAAAAATGAGAAGGAGGCGGTCTCAAACTTGTCTGCCCCGTAGCGTGTCAGTTCTTCACTATCGACGGTGTGTGCCTACGTTGATCGCGCGTGGACGACGTTGACGGCGACGTTGACGATTGTTTCTCGTTAAATAGACATTGTCAGCTTTCAGACTCGGCTCGGTTCTTTTCTTTTTTTGTTTTTTTTTTTTTTTTCTTTTGTTTTGTCCCGCCGGTGTGTGGTCGAAGCGTGGACGAAGCCCACTTTGCGCCGCGAAAATGACGCATTCGCGTGTCTCTTCTCTCTCTCCACCCGATTTCATATAGATGTTGTATATCGTTTCGGTGGAAGGGAAGGGGGAGGGGGATTGGAGGGAGGAGTTGGTGGTTACGGTGGGAGAGAGAGTTTCTCGATACGCGACGTAGAGAGATTTTTCGAAGGATGGCTCTTACCTGGAGGAACTGCCGATACTGCTTATACTGGCACCGTCAGCTGTTCTCCTTTGCTCCCTGGAGACGTCGCAGTCCGTGATATCGCATTCGGAAGTGTCAGAGTCGCTCAGCCGCGACGTCGTCGACGGTGGACTGAGATGGCAGTCCACCGGAGTTATCACCGTGTCATCGGGCTCCTGATAGTATCTGTGCAACGCGAAATTTAGATCTCACGCTACGCTCTTCTCGCTAGCGCTAGGTGAAAAAGAATCAGCCGAACGGATTCGCTGAACGTTCACGCGCCGCGACGTTCATTTCACTCACGATAAAATTTCGTTCTCCCTTTCTTTCCCTCCCCTTGGATCATTCCCCCCTACGTTACTCAACTTCTTTCTCTACTCGTCTATATATATGTACATATATATATGTATATATATATATATATATATATATATATATATATATATATATATATACATATATACATATTTTTTCTCTCTTGACTTCAACGTTACGGGAATGAAACCGTTTGAGGTTAGGTTCAACTACGTACACGGGCGATCGTATACAGCGCGACAGAATAAAAAAGGGTTAACGTGACCGTCGACGGATTCCTTCTCCCTCAGCCTAAGTACGTCGGGGACCAAAGGAGAGAAAAAAAAGAAAAAAACGGGTAGCTGCACGCCTACAGTTGTTGGCCTAGCCAGTTTTCTCAGAAGCTCACACTATCTAGAAGAAGAACTCGGGTTCTCTTACTTTCTCACGGCCAACTTTTGCATTCAGCGGCTAAGAAGCGCAAAGAGTATTCGTCAGTCACCAATCTCTAAGGTAAGGTCTCTCCTAGTCTCTCATTGCAACAAGCGAACGAACGAATGCGATTGTAGCGATTGCGTCTCATCTCAGAGGCATGAAGAAAGTGAAACATCCTAAAGGTGGTCTACCGAGCTGATTCCACATACCCAATGTGTCGGTGTTCACCGTGGCCAGTCAACGGATGCCATTCCGGCTCCTCGTCGAGGCGAGCGGTCGCCAGTTCCAGCACCGTTTCGCCGAGGAAATCGTTCGTGTCGTACTTGCCGTAGTCCCACACGGTGATCTCTAACGCCCTTTTCCTCAGCTCGGACCACCTGATCCCGTCGTAGATGAACGTTTGATTCCACTTCGGGTCGTTCGTGTTCGCCAGCGTCTTCGTCCGCCTCTTCGACTTCTCGCTACGTTTGAAATCACGAATCAGATTTGTTTCACTTACTGTTTAGAAAAAAAAAGAGGCAAGAGAAAGAAGAGAAAATAACATGAAATTAGAATTAAATTGTAACATTACTTGGAAAAACCTTTAGAAATGATTACGTTTTTTCTCGCAAAATAGCGTCGTTGACAAAAAAGTGTATCTTCGGCAATTTCCGAGATATTTGACAAAATATGTTTCACCAAGTTTGACGGTGGTTCAACGTCGACGATTACCGATTGAAAAAAAAAAAAAGATACGGGTCAAATATTTTTTACAACTACATTTACACCAAATTTTATCAAAATCGGCGATTAACGTTCCCTCGTTAATCCATCCGACTGCTAAATTTTGACAGAAAGGAACGATTTACATTCACGGTCACAATTAATTTCAACGCGATGCACGAGGAATTTTTGGGCTGATCATAGTCAGCTGAACGGAGTACGACGGAGTGACTCGAAGCGAAGTAGTACCAAAGAACAGACAAATGAGAAGGACGAACAGACGGATAAATGATAGAGTAGGTTCGCGATACGTTCGTAGAATGGAGTTACGCGTAAATGGGGCGATACCAGCCGATCGATGTCGAGCGTTAACAAGACGATGCCACTCGACGAGGGAGGGAAGTGAGAACCGTGGTTGGAGAAGTTTCGTGCGGCGGCGAGACCGTTTGGCAACGCGGCCAAACTCAACGGCTATCTTTTGGCTCGCGGGCGCTTCTTTAGGAAATGATTCATCTTGAAAGGAGGACATGGATCGCACCAGACGCGCATGAAAACGCCTCCGCGTCTCGCCGAGCGCTCGATCATTCTCGCGTTTTATGCTACGACTCGAAGAGTTTCCACCCATGATTTAGAACATGGACGTCCATGCACCGCGACCGTTTGCCGATGTTCGGGCTGAACGAAACTGGACGAAGCTTCGTTAACAAAAGGAAAAAAATGGAGCCGAAATTCCGATCATTTCGGACGGCTAGACGGGCTTTTATAAATTTGTGGGAAATTTGAAACATTGTGTGCACCGATGCAGGAAAAAGTCCATATTAACTGTAATAATATATGGAAGAGATAAATTTCTCTTCGGGTTCCATTTCACTGTTTCACTTGCGTTTGTGAAAATTTACAAATGAAAGCTCAAATGAGATGTGCACGAGGAACACAAGAGAAGAGGCAAATTTTCGTCCAAAATATAATCAACACAGTCGCGCTTTCTCCAGCTATACTTTCCCCTCTCGTTTCTTTCATCATCTGGACCAATATCCAAGTTAATTGCCGACAAGATGGTGGAAAACACGAGTTGTTTGAAAACAAGAAACGGGAGCCGAAACGAATCGCCGGAGTCGTAGTTTCTGGGCCAATCGAGCTCACTCACCTCTTGTCCGGAAGCAGGAAGATCTTGGCGTAGGGATTTCTAGGTTGGCCGTTGCTCCTGGGCGTGAGCCCAGCCGCGCAGATCAACGTGACGATCAACCGTAACGCCGCAGGATCGAAGCTCAGCTTCACCTGGAGATTACCGCCGACGTTCGCGTTGCCGGAGGAAGCGTGTCGGAGATGCCTGGCGCGTCCTTGAGCGTGCAGATCCGGCGAGCCGGGCGAGGTCACTAAAACCGAAGGTTTCTCGCGCCTCGCGTCGTACAACTCTGCAAGCGATCGTTCCGTCACGATTAGACACATTCCCGTCCTCATCGTATCGCTCGCATCAACTTCGAACGATAGAATTTCGTCTACTTGGTATACATATGTTTAAAAGAGTCAGTGAAATGAGATACGTCTCTGGTGAACGGAACGTAAGCATGCCTTTAGAATCGTTGGTTTTGCAGACTGACGTTTGCGACATTTGCAATTAAATTGTTGTTACAATCTACAAACTTTCAACACTTTTCATTGCTTTCATTTCTAAGTAATGGCAGTATTGATCTCGTGTATACGTAATTATGAAACTTGGCACTATTGCGCTTGTTAATTTTTGACAGAGATTACACAGGCATAAACTCGATCTCTGAATATATATATCGTCAACATATCTCTCGCCTCGTCGTCGTTCGGAAACGACCAGAATTCACCAGAGATGCATCTCGGAGCGTCCGCGAAAGGAGAGAAAAGAAAAGGAAAGAAAAGAAAAAAAAAAAAAAACAAAAAAAACCTGGAAGAGAGAAAAGACGTATGCATCGTGTGTGCAGCTACTGGCTCTCGATGCTTCGTATCGCGGTGAATAGAGGAAGGTGTACACAAAATTCGCGAACAAACTCGTAAAACGTCGGGCAAACGGGGACGTGGGTTCGACGATCTTTTACTAGGACACACCGAATCTTGGAATACAGGCGGTGGGTAGAGCCGGGAGAGAATATTGAGTGACGTTCGGGTTTCGGGGCAAATGCAAGAAATTCGTGGAACTTACGGCCAGATGTTCGATAAATTGTTACTACCTACGGAAAACGTTTCGCGACCACGAAATTTGGATTATTCTTGGTTCCGGGGGGGGAGGGGGGGGGAGAATAGATTATATACTTGGTTACAGCGATTCGACGGGGGTAATTCGTGCATGCGTGCATCCTGCCGCGGTCGCATCCTCCGACTTGGAAATTCCATTCCGTGGAAATTCGCAGATTACTTCGAGAATAGAGTGGGAGAGGTTTGGGTTAGGTTTCCGCTTTGGAACCGCTTAACCCGCGTGTTAACCCTTGGTATCACGGCGTGATACTCGTGTTATCGTCCAGATTTCTTTCTCTCTCTCTCTCTCTCTCTTAAATTCTCATTCCTTGTCTCTAAGATTCTGTTTTGTCTGAATATTTATTTCTTGAACTTCGTGTCACTTCGTTCAATTGTTTCAAGTTTCGTCTCGATTGTACGGTTGCTGTGGGACAGACACAACAACGCCGAACATTCATTATCTGGATAAATAACGTACAGTACGTAACGCTGGTACGATACCGCGTGAAACCGAGCGGCGACATGCAGCGCCAACATTCACGAATGACGTAACATTTGCTGCTACTGTCGTTTGTCGGTGAAAAATCGAAGAGTCGTTCGTTTATCGAAGTACAGACGGAGATAAATGCATCGACGGAAGTCTCCTGTTGGTGAAAGAGATCGCGATGCCAAGGGTTAACTCGCCGAATCGCTGTAAGGGACTCGAAAAACACCCTTCCATCAGTGGAGCGTAATGCAATTTTTGCGAGCATATACACCCATTCCTCGAGAGATATCGGAATTCACGTGCAAAATACTTTCTCTTTCTTTCTCTCTCTCTCTCTCTCTCTCTCCCTCTCGAGCTGCGAAAATAACGCATCCCTGTGTAAGAGAGATTAGCGATAAACTTAAATCAACTGAAAAATTCCAAAAGTAAGTGGTTCAGAGTCCAGTGACTGTCGTCGTGGTACAGTGTTGAGCGTTCGTGAAAACGCCTACGTTCGTAATTTTCGTGAACGCTGTTGCGATCGCAACGGCGTCGCGGTATCGTGCAAACGGCGCAACGGCGTTTTCGAAGAGTCTGCGTGTAACAATGGCGCGTTATATTACAGAAGGATTTGAAATGCATGGTCTTTCGTGGCGTACGAGGGGCGGAAATATCAAGAAGAAAAAAAAAAAAAGAAAGAAAGAAAGAAAGAAACGACACACAAATGATTCACTTGTTTCAAGTTGTTGCTCCCATAAAACTATGTATCGTAAAAACGGCGGTGTTAGCAAGGAGGGGTGCATTGGCACTACTACTCTCTACGTTCTACGATAACATCGACGATATATACAGAAAGCGGAATAACAAGTCGTATAATGGTTCTCGCTGAAGCATCGATCTCGATGCTCGGTGCGCTCGATAATCGTTGCTCCTTTTCGTTCCATTTTTCACCGACAATGGCAAAGTCCATTTCGACGAATCTTCTCGAGACTATCGAATCAAGAAAAGAAGAAGAAAAAGGGGGAACAGAAAGATTCAAAGGGGGATGAGAGGCAGAAACCACAAACACGGGAGGGGGGAGGGGGGGTGTAACACCGATTATTTAGGATCGAAATATTTATAAAGAAATTTTGAGGCCTACCCCATAGAATACATTTCTTAAGACCTGGAATACGAAAAATTATATAATCTGTGACAATGTAGCGTCGCTTTCAATACGCTTAACTTATGTCTACGGGTGTGATTTAGGAATTAAAAGGGCTTGATTGTTGTTGTTCTATCGATCTGAAATGCTTGTTGAATTTCATCGATTTAAAGAATCAAATTGTGTGTGTCTTGCTAAGTTAGCTCTAGAACTCTCTATACTACGTAATACTGCTAAAAGTGGTGGATTTGTTGAACGATCTACGTATACCAAATTTAAAACTTCATAAATTCCATTGACGTTTTAATCTATGTTGTAAACAGACTGCGAATTCGTATTTACTTTAAGAAAATATCAAGCGCGAATAGTATAATAAAAATATCGGTATTATATAAAATATCTTTGTACAATAACTTGAAGTGCTTCCCACAATGTATTTGGCACGTGGAACAATTTTCTACTTTTTCCAGGTTCTGTATTCCCAAAAGATTCGCAGTCTAATTACAAACTACGCAGTAAATCGTCGTTCAACGAAACTTAACACAGTGAAAAATTTAACAGTAAGAAATTTTACACAGTAACAAGAGGAATGGGGATCCCACTCCCCTTCGATATCAACTACCACTACTAATTTCACAGCAAAATTTCACAGCACATCCTAAGTTTGGTCTATGGAGCAGCTGTCTGAGCTGTGCTCCTCGATACACTGTCTACCTTCTCTACCTTGTCTAAACGCGCGTTACTATCGTCATCTCAGTTTCTGAACATCCGTTAGCGCGCGTATAATGCAGAGTACGTACTCTGCGAAACGTTGGCGTTGTAACGTGTATACTCGGGCCAGACAAGAAGGGAGGCAAAGAAGAAAAGAATACAGGACCTGAGAACAGATCCTCAGTATGTATGTATGTGTGTGTTTGTGTGTGTGTTCAACGAAGTAGGAGGATTAGAAAAGAAAGACAGTCGAAGAAGAAGAAGAAAAGGACAAAGAGAGAAGAAGAAGAAGAAGAAGAAGAAGAAGGAAGGGAACGAATCGAAGCTTAAAGCGCATAGTCACCTTTGTGATGCGGTTGTTGCGGCCCAGATATCGTCTCCGGGTGCTTCTGCCTCCACTGGATCTGCGCGGCGATCTTCCTCGGCGGCATCGGCGCTGCGGCCGTCGGCCCGGCGGGCATCGTCGCCGGGCCGCTCGTCGACGACAGATTCCGCGAAACAACCAGCTCCACTTGGGGCTCCTGTCTCGACTCGGCAATGATGTCGTAAACCTCGCGGAAGCTCTTGCCCTGGAGGGACCTGCCGTTCCACTTGATCACCTCGTCACCTGAAATCGTCGAATGTCCGGTCGGTTCCTATTGGATCTCGCCTCCGGGTGAACAGGGGGAGAAACAGGGAGGAAGGGGATTTATTTATTTCGGACAGAGCAAGTCCCTGTTCGGACAGCAAACGCTACCGAGGTTCTCCGATGGATTCTGCGGATTTGCAAGGAAGGGAAGGGAGTGGATGCCCGGGCTTTTGTCGAGGAAAAGTCCTGACACTGTAATTCTAGCTCCCAGGGTGACGGAAGGAAGGACGGGAACGTGGCGTTTGCGGCGAACATTGCGGAGTCGAACCGACTCCTGGAAGCTCTTCGCGTTTGAGCAACTTGTTTAATCGTCTCGATAGATCCATTCCTCGTCGAACGTAATTACGGTGATCAGTCCGGTTTTGCTACTAGCAAGATTTCAGACTCGATTTGAATGTTCGAGACGAAACAGAGGTGTGTAACAGAAGTTAAACTAACGGATATTGTTTGTAACAAAGTGTATGAAGCGCAACAGAGAATCTGTGGTAGACATAGGTGTTAATGCAATCCGCTATGGCGGATCAGTCACATAGCAGATGGTTCTCTTTTACACTGCCAGCCAGAAGTTGGACACTTTATCACGACGTATGTATATAAAAAATGAACGTACGTGTCATCGTCGTAGTATAGAAAATACGCAAAGATACCAAGTACAAATGCAGTTCGTATTGTAAAGAACAGCTCCGAGCCAATAGCTCGAAGAATAAGATACGAAAATTTTCCGCGTACAATCGGTTTATCGGTCTGGAATACCACGCAAATACGGGGAATTTGATGAAACTCGGTTCGTCGAGAATGGTTGGAGGAGAACGAAGGTGGATTTCTTTCCCCTCTCCCCCTCCCCTTGAGGGGGAGGGGAGGGGAGGGGTTCAGGATTCAAGGGCAGAGAGGTTTAAATTCATCGTTTTCTTACCGGGTCTCAGTTGACCTTCTATGTCGGCCGTGCTACCCTTCTTCACCTTCTCGATAACGGCGCCCATCGAGCCATCCTCCAACAGTTTGCCGCCGACCACTTTCAGCCCCAGTATGCTACTACTGCTTCCGGAGCCGGGCTGCTTTCGCAACACCATGTGGCCAATGATCTTCTGGCCGTCTCTGCTCGTTTGCCAGGATAACGGATGCTACGAAGCGCGGAGAACGGGTTTCTTTGGTTTTTGTTTTTCTGTCTTTCGTACCGCCGTCTCGTTAGACTTTTGTCGCGGATTCGCGCGTGAGATGAGAAGTGGGCGGAGGTTGAGGGGGTGGTGGAGGGACCGGCGTCTGCGTCTCACACGCCGCGGAGAACTTGGAAACTGACCTCGCGCGAGAATGAGGATCACTCGTCGGAGGATGCACGCGCGCGTCTGGTAGGCAGACACGCACACGATGGTGTGACGTCTGTTTCCAAATTTCGTGGCGTGCGAAGATCGACTCTCGATCGCTATATGAAAGTAACTCGCAAGTGAAGCGGACTCGTGACGTTGATGGCTTCAAGCTGACTTTCCCCGCGTCAGTGTATCCTGCGTCTCACTGGACATATTTTTCTATGGGCGTTAATCAAGCCGCCAAAGGAGCTCGGTCGATCGATCGCGTCGTCAGTCGCAGGATATTTCTGTCGCGGGCGATTCTGATGAAAGAGAAGCTGAAGAGAGTGATGGGTAGCCTTTCCGGCGATACGATGCGCGCGACACAGGGTGAGGAGGACACTCGAGCCTTGTCATCGACTCGACAATGTTACGCGATTACAAAAAAAAAAAGGTCCTGGCGCGGGCCTGTTTGCAGCCTAAACGCAATTCGATCTCGAAACACTCTCCTCGAGTGTCCCCCGGACATTTACAGAGAACGTACAGTGTTCGTATGTGAGGTGAATCTATCTAATGTACGTAATAAATGGTAGAACGATCAAGCTCGACATAAAAAAAAAAAAACAACAGAGAAAAAACAGAAAAGGAGGAAAACACGCTACACGTACATCTAATGATCGTACATCTAATACAGTATGAACAGTCACTACGTCCATGCTTTGCCACATGCTCTTTTTTTTTTCATCAACGAGCACACGAGCAGATAAAGCGACAATCCGGCCCCTTCGAACGTCCGATGTCCGAGGTCCTTCAAGGTTCCAGGCATGCGACAGCAAAACGTGATCTGCATATTTCGTTAAAAATTAAAAAAAAAAAAAAATAAAGAAATAAAAAAATAAAAAAGAACACCGTGGAAGTGAGGTATCTCTGTCGAAGAGCGACTCGATATTCATCTGGTGGATCTACTTTAGGGAGAGGGGTCGCCTCCTTCCGGTTTCCAGTCGATCATGAGTGAGTCGTGGCACTTTGATTTCGCAGACTTATGTTACTCGCTACTGGAGCTACGGATTCGATTTCCATGTGGAGCAAAAATTCCAATTTCACTTCTCACGAGCTTTGATCTCTCGCGATTCTTTGCTTAACCCCGATATAATTGGCTGGCTGTGAACTACCGGTGTCACGTCTTTCGTCTTTCGTCCCTGCTTATCATTTCTTTCGTTTTTTCTCTTTGTTTGCCCTAATTAAACGATTCGGGTATCTTCTCGGGTATCGTTCTCGTCGATGCCACGAGACGGCCGACTAAATGTTTCACCAGCGAAAGTTAAACACGCGTTCGAGAGTTCCCAAGCTAAGAACACTCGTTAAATCCGCGAGAGAGGTCCCTCGAAGTACGTTCGTCGTCCCCGTTACGAATTCAAACGCGGTTCTTTAATCCTCGTTGCGCTTCGCTCTAACCCCCGTCCCTCCCACGCCGTTCGATTTAAAACGCGCGCCAGAGCTTAGAAACTAAACGAGCGGGGGGAGTATATCTGGTTTCCGTTCTCGTCGCGGCCGTTCGAAACGGGCGCAGCCAATTACATCCGTGTTTCATTTCCGGGACGTTGAGAAGTCGCGGATTTATCAAAAGACACCGCGGAACCGATCGACGAGAGCAAACGAGGTCGGTCGAGGCCCGCCGTTGCTTCGGATATCCTTTGGCCGTGCTCCAATTCGATTAATTATGAAACAGGTACGCTTCTCTCTCTCTCTCTCTCTCTCTCTCTCTCTCTCTTTCTCTCAACAAGCAGCCGTCTTTTTAATTGGACGTTTCGGGATCGGTACCGGGCTCGCGAAATCGTCTTCGGCCTTCTACAAAAATTGACAGTCGAGTGGATCTCTGTTCGTCAAATTTTCATTATTTAAGAAAATAATATCTACAGAGTGTCGCCGAATCTATTGTATTTATTATTAAGTAGATGTTCACAGAAATTTTATTTTCTCACACAGTACCATTTCCCTCCAGGTTCTGAAATATATTACGAGATTCACGGAAATTTGGTTGGAAAACAATTTGCTGGATTAACATCAGTAACATAAGAGATTTTCACGTTTCAAAATCATCGAATGACACGTGTTAGTGCAATTTAATTCGATTAAACGATCGTTGGAATTGCCAGAGATACCGATCTCTGTCTTCTTTGTCAATCAATCGGACGGCTGATCTTCCGATCGTAAGCGATTTTTAAAGAAGAATCGGCCCAATCTCGGCGAGCGATCGATTCCCGATTCAATCGAAGAAGTACACAAGACCCATCGCCGATGGATAAATTGCTCAATCGCAGTCCGTTTACCCGGGCCGAAATTTAATCTTGCTTATTTGCTTCGGATAATTGGAGCACGGCCTTCCGCGCTACCCTCAGAATTTCCTCTCTTCTTCCATTTATCGAACGATGATCCGGCGAAACCGACTGCCGGTTGTGTGTCGGCTTTCTTCGTCAATCAGCCGCGAACGCGTTCCCGCTCGAGGAGAAAGATCTCGCGAGACGAGAGAGATTTCCTACAATCGACATTTCACAATGTTCGTGATGTTCTTGCCTTGTTCTTAACGCTTCGAACATGCGCCGATTTTACATTCGAAACTCGAGTTAACGATAAAGAAGACAATAGCTGGGAAACGGTTGACAATTGACATTTTCCTGACGTGCGTGCGTCTGACGCTCGTAGGAAATCCCTACGTCTCGATTGTCGAAACCAAAGGAGAACGATCGCGCGCGCGAGAGAGATATTTTCGCGGTCGAAAAAGGGGGCCTCGGGAACTCGGTCACCACCGTGACATAGCAGCCGCAATTCCCTCGTTCTCGTTGCGGCGCGCGAGAATTTTTCAAGAATTACCTCGACCTCTCGCGAGGCGAGCAGTGAATCGTCGTTTTTATTGCGGCTTGTACAGGGGGGAGGGGCTTTAAGAAGCTGTAATTCCCCTCGTTTCACCGATGGGGAGAGAAACTCTGAGGCATCGTCCGCGCGACGCGAGATTTCTTTCGTTCGTTTCATCGAGAGCAAAAATCGTCGAAACTCGCGAAACACTGTATTTTCTATCTACAAGTCTCGTTACGATGATCGTTCAAATTCAATGATTTCTGTTTCCAACGATTTTCGTTTCCATTTGATTGCCAGGAACGACAGAATATTAAATATCGGAAATCTTACGTATCGGATATCTTTGAAGGTTTTATACGCGTGTCTATTTTTATAACTTTCACGTAGTTTACGAGACACATTTCAGTAGAACTATCAAAATGACCAATTTATAATTTTTGTTAGGAATTTTATAGACACAAAGTAATGTATTTTTAAACAATTTAAATGATTTTTCGACACATGTGCAAACAGAAGCTCGTGTAATTTATTGTAAAGCTTTTCTATTTTTTCAATGAAAATTTTATTTATGCTTTAGTCCTTAATATCCTATCGACGATCGTTTGTTCACAATTTCGAGCGCCAAAACAAATTCAGATTTATATCGAAATTTTCCAGCAAACGTGTAAACGCCTCGATATACCGACAATACGCGAATCTTTTTTCTTTTTTTCCTTTTCTTCGTCAGACTGCAACCTCCAAAGACCTCTCGTTTTTGTCGATTCGTGCCTCGCGATCCTTAATTCACAAGCTCGCGGAAGCTTTCCATCCGAGAACGAACAAACGAACGATTAATTGGTCAGGACCGATGCCGATCCGATGCCGTGCTGTTGTCGTGACGTTGAGGAGCGGCGGGTTCCGTTCGAACGAATTCGAACGAGGGGGTGACACGGGGTGACACGAAGCGTGTGGGAAGGATTTGAAAGAATGGCTGCGCGCCGATCGAAATACGAAGCCGATTTACGGGATCGCGTAATAACAATAACGGGTAATCGAACCGTGGTTGCCCATCGGCCGTCCCGACGCCGCCAAATTGACAAACACACCGTGCAAGGAGCGGCTATCGGAAAACCAGCGTCCGGATGCTGCAGCCCACCCGTTTGGAACGATGATTTCGGTCCTTTCTCTTTCACTTTTCACGCAATGATTCGATCCTCGTTTCTTTTTTTTTATCACGCACGGTGAACAGCACAACTGTACCAGTGGCCAATGACAAATTGTCGACGACATAACTTTGTATCAACACACCCACGCCACCCGCTTGATCTCGTTTTAAAGCGCGAAGCTTCTGTTTCGACAGTCGTAAGTTCGTTCTCATCGAAAATTATCGACACTCAAACACGCGTGAAAATGTTAAAATTTTCTTCGCAACTAGATCTGCTAGGTTTGTTTAAAGATCGAAGCTTTCCCTTTGCAACGACCTCTCGAAACTTATTGTACGATTTTTCTCCACCATTTTGCTGAACGTTGAATGTTAAACAAGAAATCCCAACGTTTCGTCCTAATGTTCAAAATTCGATAAAGTATTGGGGGAGAAGTCACACAACGAGTTCCAAGTGATCGTTGTAAAGAGAAAATTTGAATCTTTGAAATCATAATCGATTTAATCGTGAAAAAAATTGTTTAATGTTTGAATCTTCACAGTTTTCGAGAAAAAAGTACATCTCGCTTTCCTCCTCGTTACATGGTATAAAATCATTTTCAAAAAAAAAAAAAAGAAAATGATCTAGCTACTTTTAAAGTGAAGACTTTAAAATGAGAACAAGTTGATTATATCATCTTCCTTTACCAAGTTAAATCAGTTTATGGTATCGATCATTTTTCATTGTCATTGGTGCAATTATGCTCTTCACTGTTGATGGTTTTTATTTGATTAAGTAATTATTTAGAATAGGAGATTCTAAGTTCACTTCAGCCTGATGTACATGTGTATTTTGTCAAAGATGAGATACAATTTTTGCATATTATCAGCAATTGTTTGGCCTGTTACGATACAATTAAATTCTCGTTCACTCACGGCAAAATTTAAGACCAAAAACCCATTAGTATCTAAAGTCATAGTCAGCAGTTTATAGATATTGTTCATGCTCTAAGAATCCGTTTTATTCTCCAAGTTTGATATCTATTCTAAATAATTACCCTTTTCTGAACAGTGCTTATCTTCGATCGATCTTCAAGTGGTAGAACAAGACTCGTCATTATCGTTTATAATATACGCTCGAATGCTCGAACTCTCTAGCGTTTCTATAAACTGAACGTTGCAAGATTCGTTTGATTCTCCAAATAAACATAATCGACGCTCGATCTCAACCTCATTCTACCAATTGAGAGCGAAAAGTCCAAGAAGTTCGTCAATTTTCTGTCGAATCTGTTCTTAAACACCCCCTTCGCTCCAGGCGAAGTTCTCAGAGGCTAGTGGCGACGAGACTGATATGTTTCCTTCAAAGAAAGAAAGAAAGAAAAAAAAATAGAGAGACAGAGAGAGACAGAGAGAGAGAGAGAGAGAGAGAAGGAGAGAGAAAAAACCCAATCGCGAGAAAGAAACGAGTTTCCAATTAACAGCGGCAGTTTCTCGTTTTCGAAAATTTCGTCCAAAACGAAACGGACCTGTGGACTGTAGAGTCGCCGGTGATGAAACTTGATTAAACGCGGTCTCGCGGCCTCTCGCCTCGGAGCCCGAGAGCTGTTTGGTCGTTTAATAACGCGAAGCGATATATCGTTGCGGGGATGTATCGTGTGGTGAATGAACAGTGGCGATGTGAGGCTTTTTTGATGAGAGTCTGGGTGTATCGTGACCTGGCGGGCGGCGGGGGGAGGGGGGGGGGGGGCGTTCCGCACGAATCCTCCGAACGGTGTTGTGAAACTAGCTGAAGAAACGTGAAACGATCGATAACTAGGACAGAGAGAGAGAAAGAGAGAGAGAGAGAGAGAAAGAGAGAAGCTGTCTCTCCGGAGTATCCGTAGGATGGAGATCGAGATGCGTTTCGATGAAAAGTGGGGAGTCGATAGATGAGCCGAGAGATCGATAGATAACGAGAGAACGTGCGGGATGAAGAACGGATGAATCTTTTCTTTCTTTCTTTTTTTTTTTTTTTTTTTTTTTTGATCCACCATTTTGATGGCGTTTCGTTCGGTCGAGGAGAAGAATTATATGCAGAGAGATGAAACGATGAGGAAGAAAGAAAGAGAAAGAGAGAAAGAAAAGAGAGAGAGAGAGAGAGAGAGAGAGAGAGAGAGAGAGAATGAGGTACGCGAGGGAAGCATCCTAATCTATGTTACTAAATCACGTCGGTGGGGAAGGTTTTTTTTTTGGGCGAGGCCCGAGAGCTTTGATTTGAGCTGTTGGTGAGATCAATCCAAGACTCATGCGAATCAGGTGCGATCAAACTATGTACGTTTTGCCAGGAACGTTGCATTCCCGTCGTGTTTCGTTAAATGCTCTCGCTCCGTGACACGTGTCGCTGAGATGCTAGAAAGAGACGCTCGACGAAAGGAGGTCCGAAGGATTTCGCACGTAACAGTAGCAACAACCAGTATTCAGTACAAATTAGACTCGTATTGTACAATATATATTATATATATGTATATATATGTATAATATATAGAAACTGGTGCGTCGAAAAAGTAATGTAATCGTAACGAGAAAAAAAAAAAAAAAAATGGACGCGTATTCCAAGCACGAAAGCCTTTAAGCTCGAAGTTTGGGGGGTGAATCGAGCAAAAGAGGTTTCCTCGTCGTACTCGAAGTAATCACATCAATGTAGCATGAAATGACGAAGAAAGAAAGTGAGAAACAAAAAAAAAAAAAAAAAAAAAAAAAAAAAAAAAAAAAAAAGAACAAAAAAAAAAAAAAAATCAACGTCGAAAATAATAATAATAATAATATGGAAAAACTGAAAAATGAACAGTTCGATCCTTCACTGTCGAGCTTCCAGCAGTCTCTCTCTCTCCGTCCCCTTCCTCCGATAAAAACTACATTCCGAAAAACTACAACGATCCACCGCAATAGTGACGACTCTTCCGCGTATCTCTTTTATTGCACCCGTTTAAGAAAAGAAACCTCTGTATCGCCGCGCGTGGAACGGACGCGCGTGAACCGACGAGGATCGACGTGTATTTTCTCGATCGTCTCGGTGGCGTGTTTCATTCGCGCAGGAGATCGACACTGGAGGAAGGAGAACGGACGATTTCGCGAGGAAGAGGGCGAAAACCATTGTTACGTTTTGCTACGGCAAACATTAGTGGCGCGTTTTCTTTTCGCAGGTCAGAGGAACGAAGAATAAGAAGACTTTCCAGTCAAAAAGCTAGTTCTCGTGCTAGTTCCCTCTTGCTGACGTCGACCAACTGAAGATGCGTTCTATGTGTCATTGTCAACGAAAATATGGAATATGGAATATACCGGTGCTAAATTTCTAAATTATCGTCTCTGTGGTGTGCATGCACGTGTGTATGTGTCTGTGACTTTCACTCTGTTTCACTCTGAACAGTTTGAAACGTGTAGGAAGAAACAGTTCGCGTGTACGTTACCGCGTTGTTGTACTTGATGCAAAGCCGTATCTGCCTACACGTTTCATGACTCATGCGATCTTTCACTTATTTGCAAGACACCCGGAATAACGACAGCCACTCTCTTAACTACAGACGCATTTTTGAATCCACGCTATCGAGGGCGTGACAGCACAACTTCTTAATAGATCGCACAGCGATCATCAATCGACCAGTAACTATTATTAGCAACACCGCCAAGAACAAAAAGAAAAAAAAAAACGCGAGATTACAACGGAGGAAGCAATGGAATTCGATAAGAGAGTTGCGTGAATAGGTATTGTTGGCAGAGACCAGTCAGTTATAGTTTTCTTTTTTCCTTTTTCGTTTTTTTTTTTTTTTTCTATTTCAATGCCGAATGGCATTTGTCGAGCCACGCGTTTTCGACCCGTAACACCGAAACACGCCTGTCTTTGGAGCACGTTCATCGTCGAGTGCATCTCGAAAGTGAAAAAGCAGAAGAAAAAAAAGAACAGAACACATCTTCGTTCGACAAGAACGGAATGAATCGACTTTCCGCTCGATCGCGACGATAATCAACGAGACTTGTTTTAATTTCTAACTTCGAAATTGTAGCGGGTCTCTCGTTAATGTGTTATCTCACACGATCTGGTCGAAAGAGCCGATTCCATTCTACTATTCTCCAATTATTATCTCGTATCTTCGTTCGAACAAGTATGAAATTGCGAGGAATATAACAGTTCCCGAATAGTATCGCGCGCATGGCTCGTGACTCGAATACACGCCCGATTACCAAAACTCGTTCGATAACACTACGAATCCGTACGAAATTCCATTCCGATCGTCTCGTACAATATCGTAATCGTAACGAGAATTATCAAACGCAATGTTCAAGTGGCCTACAGATCTATTTATTTACATTCGATACAAAACTATTAATGTAAAAAAAGCGAACATCGCGAGTAGCTTTTTCTTGCTTTCCTTCTTTGTCTCCTTCACCTCTGCTGTCGCGAGTTATCGGTATACGAGCTTTGAGAAAAACTCGGAAGAAAAATCCTTTTGGAGGGAGGAAAGGAGAAAGTGCGCGCGGTTTCTAAAAGAAAAATATCCCCTAGGGAAGGAAATGTCCTCTATTTTCCAAAACTCGTGTCGATAACTCGCGACGAAGATAGGAAAGAAAGAGAACCTAGAAACCGGTTCAAGCCCTGAAATACGTCCTAAGACCAGTTGTGGCCTGGGAACCGGTGCAACTAACGTCGAACGAGTGATAAGCCTCGTTCCCCCTCGTGGTACACGGATTTCGTATCGCACAACGAAATGCTGAACGGCGACGAGATACCGAACGATATGAGAAGCCACGTCGGAATCGAACAGTCGAGACACTTTTGTCAACAATAATCGTCGTCTTGTCCATTTCTCTTTTTTCTTTCTCTTTCATTTTGTTTTTTTTTTTTGTGGCCTTACTCCGTCGGATTTGTCTCGAGGTATCTAAATGCAAGTGTAATGCGCGAAAATGAAAAGACTCGTACGCGCGTGTGTATGTGTGTATATGTAAACGTGCAAAAAATGCGTAATAAATAGCGGATCCGTTTCGCGACTCTCGTTCGATCTCGTCCAGACCAGTTTCCGATCTATCTCGATCAGACGCCGTGTCATCGCGATACATAACTTTCTCTCTCTCTCTCTGCAAGAAACTAACTAACTACGGGGTCGAATAATTCTCTCATAATTTGGATCGATTCGTCCTTCTGGACCGAGGTCCTTTTGCACCGACGTTGAAATTTTCGAAACGAAAATGAAATCACATCCGGCCAAGTGACGATGTGACACGGTGTGTACGAGGGAAAGACGAAAAAGAACGGATTTCGGGGGAACCGGAAGTGCGCGAGCAACGCAGGCGGACAACAGTCCAGAAGGAGCCGAATCGACACGGGACAGAATCTTTCCTCGCTCGCGTGTGTAAGTTGTCATCAGCGATTACCGATGACAATGTATCTAATCTTCCTTCTTCACCCTTAGCGTGTCATGGCGAGACACCTCCTCAATTGACTAAGCCTTGCCCGTAGTTTCTCTTGCCGCATCCTAAGCTCCATCACCTTCGTCGACGTAACTTCGTCGGTCTCCTTCAACGTGTAACAGTAGGAAGCCGCTTGCCTGAGAATCGCCACCTTCGGCGCTTTGTCCTTCTTCTCGACGGCTGGCACCAGCACGCGCAACTCCTCGAACGCGTTTCGCAGCTCTATCCGCCTCTGGCGCTCCATGTTGTTGTGCTCCCTTCTCTTCTCGGTGTCGAGCTCGTCTTCGGAGGAACTTCTCGAGGCAGTGAACGTTTTCGGCGGCGGCGACACCACGGCCATAGACGCGGACGTGGTCGCGGACGTTGCCGCTGGCGTGCATTGTTCCGTCTTGGCTCGTCTCGTGTAACAAGCTCGTTTCGCTGGCTTCTCCTCGGCCTGGGCGGTTCTCTTTCGCGCTGGATTCGAGGGTGGTCGGCCACGCGGTCTCGAGCCCGGTGGTTTCTCTTTGAACGCGGTTTTAACTGTTAATTGGAAGTGTTGATGGTCGGCCGGGCTCGGGTACGTTGGCAACACCGGTTTGCACGGTTTCTCGAACGTCACCACGTCGATCTCTTCCTCTGTAATAAGAAGAAAAATAGGGGTGATGATTTACGGCTGTTCCGGGTGAATGTGACGTGTGGAGATGACACTGTATAATATATATATATATATTATATATATATATATATATATATATATATATATATATAATACATATAATACACAATATAATATATAATACGGTATCCCTGCTTCTTGATGAAACGTATGAAAAAACATTTTACCTCCCGCAGAGAGCAAAGCGTACTCGAAACATTTATTTTTCATCGGTGCAGATAATAGTATAGTATTCTAACATCGTTAATCATGCTCACGGTGAAACATACACTTTATACTTATCTTATTTAACAAATTATAAATATCAATTTGTACCAACTGTGCAGTACTGAAAAATTATAATCAATACAAATCGATCCAAATACCAAAAATAAAATGCCAAGGTACTTGGTTTGGATGACCAATGAAACCCAATTTGTACTATGTACCTTGTCGTAGAAAATATTTGAATTTGATAATAATACCAATAATGGTAATATTATAATTTGATAATAATACCAATAATGGTAATATTATAATTTGATAATAATACCAATAATGGTAATATTACAACGAATATATTTTTGATCCTCTCTCCACATGAAGTAAACTCGACTTTCTTTCTTTGGAGAAATGGCTAGTATCAGCGGATAACCGTGAAACGCGTCGTTAATTAGTCGACACATTGATCCAGGCACTGTTCTAACTTCGGCAATCCTATATTCAGGGTGAAGGTCGGCCGCGAACAGCGGAAGAAGATCCTGTCGCGGTTCTTCAGTGCGCTCTAGGTATTCGGATCAACAACGGCAGAAAAAGCTAACATCGAATTGACCCTGAACTCAAACCGGATGCTATCGATATCGTTTATCTCGAGAGATTCCCTGCCTGCGGCTACCAGCCAGAAACAGATAGACACATCGTCTATCTTCGCTGTAGTACAAGTCACAAAAAAAAAAAGGACAGTTAGGTAGAGTTATTCGGAGAGGAAGAATATTGAAAGTTAGGGTAAAGTAAAATTTGTCAAATTCGATTATGAACAATTTTGGCCAAAGTTAATGTGTTATTGTACATATCACTTTATTCCTAAAATATTATTATTAATAGTAACACCTCCCATAAGAATTACTTTTCCTCACTTTTGTCACATTAGGGGCTATTTAACGAAATCATTTATTTAATAAAAAAAATTTAACTAATTAGCGTAATTATATAAAATTCAAGATTAAATTTTAAATTGAGGGATAACACCCATAAATTCACGTTTTTCTTTCCTAATACTAATTTCCTAAGATGGAGCACGTTTTAATATTTTACGTTTAGACAATGGATACGAAAATGAAAGACCTCTAAAAATTTCATTAAGAATGATGCACGACTCTACTTGAATCACACAGTTTAATTTACAGAACCAGTCTGCTGGCTTCTGCGACGACGTGATGGCTTCGGCCTCTCCCGAAGTCTTAATTGCGCCTCAATTGTAACTAACACTTACTTACACTCACTGTGACGTATGCTTTGACCAACTTTGTTCTCGACAAACTGATCAACGTTCTCAATGACTATGGCTGGATTTTCTCCTCTTCGCTATTCGCGAGCCTACTTTATACGCGTTGGCTGGGCGACAATGACGTCCAATCACATTTAAACCCGATATGATCCGCAAAAGTCATACGTCGATCGAGAGATGGACCTTGTATGATTGTAACCCATCAAAGTAACGAGACTCGCGGATCAATGGACCTAGGTGATAATAGTAAAACGCTCCCGTAAAACAAAAATGGCCTGGGGGACGCGCGGAGGACGTTAGGGCTTTTTATCAAGATCACGAATCGTTGATCCTCGATAAATATACAACAGGGCAATACAATTTCTTTGTATCGGCAACAAGTACTGACCGTTGTCAACAAATTGCACATACATAGAAATCGCGCGCAGATATACCAATTTAATAAACTTTCGCTGGGCAACTGATTGCGGACCATAACGAGCGACCGAACCGTATATACAATAATTCGTCGTTTTTCTTTTCGAACTCGTCGGTACGATATCACTGGATAGAAATTATTGACTGGTAATAAATTTATTATTTGCTTCGTCTGGGTTAACACTTAAATATACTTAAAACTGAGAAAAAAAATTGCAATTTTGGGAAACACAAGAAAGAATTCTCGACGCGCGTGACACGGTCATTCCCCTTGGTTCCGGTCTCGCGAACAACCCTTCCTTACTGTTACGTTATGGAAAAAAAAAAAGAGAAAGAAATTGACATGGTAGACGACTGTGTTGGAGCACGTGGCCTTTGCGGAGGCGTTCGAAGGGACATACGACACCGTGGGCGTTTCTACAAACTGTGTCATCCATGGCGTCTGGCACAATCAATGGAAATCCGGTTGGTCCAGATTCCTCTCTGCTCTCAGATACGGATCGTAACTCTTTCCTCAAGGACAACGTTCGGGATACAATCGCTCAATGTCGACACGTGTATCACTGACAAGGAAGCCTTTCTCTCTGCATCTGTACTCCTCTCTCTCTCTCTCTCTCTCTCTCTCTCTCTCTCTCTCTCTCTCTCTCTCTCTCTCTCTCTCTCTCTCTCTCTCTTTCTTCATCCGTCTGTATAACGGTTCGATCATGTTCAGTTGATTTACCAATAAATTTCGTTCTGCACCATCATTCGTTCACAAAACGAATCATTAGCGCCGGCCAGTCCTCGTAAATACCGTTCTAATTGAATTTCGAGCAATATTATAGTATAGCAAAGCGTGTTTCGCGACATTTAATAAATACCCGGAGTGCATCAATCGCGACGCTGAAGACTGTGAACGGACTGTACGTACAAGTGGACGAGAGGGGATGGTTTAATGAAGTAAACGAATCCAACGGTGAGAAACAGACGGCCGATTCGGAGTGTAAAATCGATTCACGGTGAGGAATCGCAGCCTGCGTTCACTTTACAGTCGCAGCTGTAATTTCATACGTCACAATGCGATACTATGAACCGCACGATGAATTATCAATCGTGTGACTCCGATAATTTTATTCATGCACCGGAGAAAAAAAAAGGCATGTAAAACAGAGAGTGTACGCAAATGTTACGTGATCGATGCATGCAACGAACTTGACCTCGGTTAAGATACCAAAGGGAACATAATTTATGCAATTTATGCGTTCTTCTTTTGCGCGTCTCGTTTTTCCTTATCCATCAGTCTCTCGTTTCAAATGCACTCTCTCGTCTATCCGGACGAGCTGAATTAATTCAATTTCGACAACTTTTATCGCTCTCGCTACAACTTGTCGCGGCTCGTTACATAAAACGTAGACGATCGGTTGTCGATTTAAATTACAAAAGTTTCTAGTCAGAACACCTTGAAACACGTTATGCTTGGTCTGCAAAACATCTAGAGCCGCATCTTCCGGTTTCACTTTACATGCCCGGTCGCTGCAACCGCAGCGTAAACTTTTAATTAAGGCGAATCAAGAAAAAGAGAGGTACTCCTTCCACTTTTCCCCCTTAAATCGCATCCCTCGTTCGTTTCAATGCATCATTCAGGATCAATTAATCCGTTGACGGCCGAAATTTTACTTGCAATATACTTTTCGATCAATTTACCATGGTAAATAAAATAATTCCGAGTTTGATTTACATCTTCTTTCAACCATTCTTACTTCAGCCATTTAGATTTTATGAAATTTCAACATACACCGTTGCTTGACCTTTAACGAGTTAATCCTTTGCCCGTCTTTCGTCCAACGTGACTAAACAAACGTCCTGCCTATCGATTTATCATGTACTTAAGTGATTAACGAACTTTTAATGGCCAAAGTTATCAATGAACTTTTAACGACTAAAACTATTAACGGAACTTTTAACGACACGCTCTGCTAAATTTATTTTGGCAAACATTTCCATTGCTCCCGAGATTTCTTCGATTTAAGTGCAAACCTGTCGGAGCAGTCTACGAGAAGAAAAGGATTGATCCAAATAATGGCACATAATTTAAATATGGAATATTAGTTAGATGCTCGATGCCCCGACTCGACACCATTTAAAGCCTGAACATCCAAGGGCCAGGCGGAAAGAGTCTCTCGAAGAACGAGGAAGAAGCCAAACGAGAGACGTGTCGCATACGTGGCGCGTGTATTCGTGTGCAAGGCAACGAACGCGGCAATCTCCCGTTTCGCAGGCACACACGCATATGCACACACGCGGTTTCCACGTGAGCCAGACGCACGAATCTTGCCGAAATTGGCGCGCCGCCAGGTCGTCGATGAGCAACTGCGAAAAGGCGCGAAATTTCTAAAAATAACCGAAGGAGCCACCTAAAGGTAACTATAGAAGGAACACCGAGGGTCGCGACTCACGAGAAAACACACGCCGCTTCTTCTTGGCCCCGTGTGTCTCATTCCCACTGGAATGACAATCGCACTTAATACACACGTTGACCCACGTGTCACCTATTTTCGCGCCTCGCTTCGACTCGAATTCCCTAGTCCGGATCAAGAATTTCATTCTCTCTTTCTACAATTCAAAGGGTTGAAACCCTTTCAGAGCATATGTAAGTAATAAGTAGAACGTATCGGACGAGGACGTATCGTCGATTTGGGAACGATGATTATATTAACATGCTCCTGGCGCTGGAATGACGTGCCCACGCACGACTCGAGAATTTTTCGTTCCAAAATTATTAATACTTTCTCAGTTTTAAATACATTTAAGTGAAACAAAGTAGGCAAAACAAGTAATAAATTTATTATTTCTCAATCATTTCTATTCAGTGATATATCATACCGACGAGTTCAAAGAGAAAGCGGCGGACTATTCGTACAAAGTTTGGTCACTCGTTACGGTCCGCAATCAGTTGCCAGCGCAAGTGGTTAAAGCTACGTGCGCTAATTTTAGTTTTCAATAAAATGCGATGGTAGATTGCATTTGGTAGATCGAGAAATGAGATTAAGATTTACCAAATTTCTATAAATGTGCCCTCGTGACATTCGTTAAATTTCACTTGACACTCGTTAAATTTCAATGATATAAATTAATCTTACTACGTGAGGAGGCCAAAATTAAAATTTGCAAAAAAAATGGAGTCACGCATGCTTTCGTTTCAACGAATGACTCACATGATGCCTCCACTCTACAGATAATTTATACAAAAAATTCGTCCGGAAGTGAACGTTTCTGCCGAAGGAAGGAAGTGCCTCGTATTTCGTTCTTCAGTCGCATGACCTGGCCGTCGAAAAGTCACGAGGCCGTCGAATCGCTAATTGGATACGGTTATATTTGAAAAAATATAAAATAGCCGATATATTTGAAAAAAAGAAAAGAAAAAATATTTTGAAGTTCACGGCTATTTAATAGCTGTGAGAAAATAATTAAACGCACCATTACTGCTCCATTTCGCTCCGGTTTGACCGACATCAACTTCTGCTACTTCGTTAAATTGATGACCTGGAAATTACTAACTGTGAGTAAAGGCAATGATAAACGTCTAATATTATGAAACGTATGAATATTTATAACATTTATAATATTAATATTTATAGTTATACTTTAATTTTATTATAGTTTACTTTAATTTATATTATTATTAATATTTATAGTTGTACTTTATTAAATTTATATTATTATTAATATTTATAATTATACTTTGAAGAAGAAATAATTTATAAATTATATACTTATACCAAGAAAACTGACAGTGGGCGCATAGAACGTGTTACTTATCTACTGTATGACGCACTAGATTTACATCAAGAATTAACATTAAACGCGAAATGATAATTACCGAGGATCGACTGCTTAACATATTTGAATATTAAGTATTGGCGATAATTTACAAAGCTCTCGATTTGCCGAAGAGCTGTCTTCGTATACTCGGACTTATCACTGAAGAATATTCATGAAGTGAAACGTATTATTATTAAAAAGCAAAAAAATTTAACAAACACACCAGCTGTCTAGAGGAAGATCAATCTGCGCAATTCTCCAAAAACCACTTACCGAGCATCGTCACGGGCGTAGAGCTACGAACGAGCGTAAGAGAGTGTCATCCTCTCGCAACCTACCTCACTCGACGAGCGCGAGAAACTCGTCCAAAATTAGCAGAAACCGAGTCAGGAAGCGGCGTGAATCGAGCGCGAAAGAGACGAGGAGGCCGAGAATGGAAGAAGCGGAGCAATGCGTGTGACAGCAGCGCGTGTTCTCGTCCGGAAAAGGAAGAGCGTGTGTGCGAGAGGAGGCTGCGGAAAAGGTCGGCGGCCCACAGAGAAAGAGAAAGAGAGAGAGAGAGAGAGAGAGAGAGAGAGAGAGAGAGCCCGCGCGCAACTAGAGAAAATTTCAAAGCGGTCGCGCGCTCCACGAAAAAGAGAAGAGAGCAGTGGCGACGAGACGGTATACGGCGCGAACTGCGAGTCGACCGCGTTGGCGATGAACGCCAGAAGAAGCGGGAGGGGAGAGAGAGAGAGAGAGATATCAGCAGCGAAGGGGAGAGGAAGAGGGTGGCTGGCTACGTCAATTCGCGGCAGCACGTGCAACCGCGTAAGAGCGACCTTGGGGGTCAGTGCTCTCCGTGTAAGCAGGCCATAGTAGTACGTCGACGCGAATCGATCGCCTCTCCTCTCTCATTGGGATAGGCGACCGCGAGTCGAGACAGGCGCAGGGGAAGGGGAAGATAGGTTTTCGTGATATCGAACGGTCGCCTCTCTCGGTCGCCTCTGCCTGAGAGGAACCATGCTTCGAAAAACCAGGGAGAAGGGGGATGAATTTCTCTTCTTTCCCTTCTTCAGACCGTCCTGCGTAAACTGCCCCTTTTTCTTTCTCTCTCTCTCTCTCTCTCTCTCTCCCTCTTTCTGTTTGCTTCGCACACCTTCCCCTCGAACGTCGAGTAACCGGATGAAAGTCCCGCCATTTTTTCCCGGACAAATCCCTTTCGGCTGATTACGCGTTTTGATTTGTGCGCCTCGGACAGGGCGCGGCACCCGTCCTGGCCTGGCCGAATATTTCCAGAGGGGAGAGGGTACGAACCTCCTGGCACGGGAGGAAACAACACAGAGTGAACGCAGAATACGTAGTGCATGAATTTCTCTGATCCCGGATCGGAGATAAACAAAGACAAGTGTCCGGGAGGCTAGAAAACTGGACCTCCGTGTGTAAATTACGGAATTATTTAGCCCAGACACCGCGGCGCACGGCATTGGGTGGTTCCCGTTACGAGCGAGGCCAACAATCACGATCGACGAGCTAGGATTGAAATTGTAACACAATGCGGAGGAGAGCGTGCGCTCTTACGAGCTACACGCGGATAAAAGGGCGTGAAAATTCCACCACACGCTAAAGTCGAAGGAGAAAGCGAGTCCGTAGACAGCGCACCATCGGTAATATCGGTGTGACGAGAGAGTGTAATATTCCACGACTCGCGACTCTCTCATTGACGCGTACCGAGAGGATCGTGCATGAGAGGATCGAGGAAAACGCCAGGAATACCCCCTGCACGAGTTTCACGTACTCGTCATCGCACGATACGTAGGTCTCTCGACGTCCGATGACCCCGTCGGTTCCTCGGCAGCCGATAACTGTCAGATACGAGACAAATCTGTGCAAGGCTGGAAATCTGCCCCGCGTGGTCTGCATCGCCGGTGACCCGCGCGAACTTTCCCAAGAAGAGTGATGTGTTGCGTTAACTCGTCATTCATGGATCATCAACTTCTTCGACGATCGCGCAACACTCTCCTCGAACGGAGAGTTGCCGACAGTTGAGAGATAACGCGGCGAAGTCCGCTCGCGAGCGTACACAAATTACGCTCGGACTTTTAAATTACGTGAAACCTAAATTCACGGCAGCAACAACAACGGTTCGATACGTAACGCGTTGAATGTAAATCGTCCGCGATTTTCTATCTCGCTGTCCTGCTTGACTGGCCTCTATATTATTCTTCAGCCAGGCTGAATTCCAACGATATTGGAACAAAAGAAGAAGAAAAAGAGAGAGAGAGAGAGAGAGAGAGAGAGAGAGAAAAGAAAAAAGGAGGGGGAAATTCGGTGACGAACACACGACACGTTGCACGAGATTACTGTGTTCGTGGAATCCTTCTACACCGGCCAGAAACGAGTTCCACGGTTCAAAACTATCGCGAGATGACAATCCCTTTAAGCGGAGCCACATACGCGAACGTGACGGCACGTTTCTTCTCTCTTCCTGGTCACTCGATGTTCACAACCGTATATGAGAAGAAGCCATAAATCTAGTCGTGCCCGAGGCTCTCCGGCGCGCTCGCAGCTGATGGCCTCCCCGTACTACCAACCGGCTCATCCAATCCAGTTACGAAAGTGAGCGCGGATGCCCTCTTTCTCGCTCGCCCGGGTGTCGGTCGCCGGCTCGAAAGTCGATACGGAACCACGCGCGGCGGCATCGCGCGTTCCACCGCGAGAAACGGTTTCGCGGGGGACACGGAGATCTTGCACGTTGCGTGCAACAAGCCTAACGACTCGCAGGATTTTCTCCTTACGTGCGCGATACGTGGTACGAGATCAGTTTGATTCGAACTATGAAGCTAGCTTATACCCTGCTTGGCAAGGTCCCCGATTGCGGACCATAACGAGCAACCAAAACCGTGTACAATAACTCGTCGGTGCGATATTCATTCACTGGATGGAAATTATTGAGAAGTAATAAATTTATTATTTGCTTTGCCTAGTTTGTTTTACTTAGATATACTTAAAACTGAGAGAATATTGCGCGGCACGTCGTTCCAGAGGAAGAGGTTGAATCTACGATCAAGTTTAGATCTACGGGCGTCACTTTCAAAGTTCCATGACGAGTTACCTCGTCAAAAGATAAACCGCTAACGATTTATGGCAAGTTTGTTTCGCTGTCGGCGAACACGGTGACTATTATACTTTGACAGCTCGTTGTGTATTACCAGTGACTATATTCATTGACGTTCGTTGGATATACCATATACTGATGACTATAGTCAGCCAACATCTGACGCTCGCTATGTAGCGACGATCCTAGTCAACCAATAAAATTTTGCATTTATTTAATTAACTTTAACGCCCGGGACCACCCTCGTAGCTAAAAAAAGGCTAGTTTTCTCCATTCTGATCGAATCAAAGTTAGGAGAAGAAAGACAACGAGTAGTAGGTAATAGAAAAGAAGAAGGCGTGAGGCTCGTTCAAAAAAATCACAGACCATAACGCGTTATTATCCGACGGGGCCAGTCCAATTACGAGGAGTCTCTACCGCTGGTGTGCTCGTTTGGAAATCATGCCGCGAGATACTATGCTACACCTTGGATACAAAATACGGCAGACGTATCTGGGGGATAGCAGCCAGGAAACGACCTGGTGACCAAACACCATTAATGCCCTGCCCACGAGACCGCGATCCGCCCACGAAACGGGATGCAACATCGCGTCATCGACGTTCGTGCGAACCGCCACATACGTATCGCGCCAGACGAACGACACGTCGACCGACCACTTCCGTACCACCGACGCGCATCGTCATCGATGCCGTGGAACTCTTTCATCCGGTGTATCGAACACGGAAGCGACGAAAGGGAACACGAAGACATCTCTCCTTCGTCGTCTCTATCCTTGCTCGATTGACTCACAGAGAAATATGCAGTTTCTCTCTGTTCGATAAGAACGTTATTATTCCGTTATTAAAATATTTACTTTAGGTTTCATTTTAAATTTAATTTTATTAAATGTTAATTTAAAAATTTTATTATTATAATTAATATACTGTTTTTTTTATTTCATTAAAGTTTTAAATAAATGTGAAATTATTTATGAAATTATATTTTCTAACATTGTAATTATATTTCCAATGTTGAAAATAAAATTTCCAATTGTTAATAAAATTTCATTTAATATTAATGAGAATATTAATATTCCTTTCTCCTTTCTTTTCCCTTTCCTTTTTCCGCCGTTTCTCTCCTGTCCGACTTATCTCCTTTTAGAACACTGTCTTTCGATGTTAGTCTTCTCTGTCTCCCGTTCGATCGACTCGAGAGAACTGCTAAGAGAGAGAAAGGGAGAGAGAGAGAGAGAGCTGCAGAGAGTCTGGCATGCCGCCTTGGGAGAACGAGAAATGCAATAAGAAGGAGAGAAAAGAGAGAGCTGCCGCTCCGATCGAGCAGAGGAAGGAGTGCCACGCTGGGGGCACAGTGTGCGGGAGGAACATGAAAGAGAACCATGCCAACCACATTTCTCTCTCATTCTTGAAGCAAAGTTTTCTATTTCAATTTCAATTTCGAATCTTTAACCTCTTGCGCTGGTAATTGGTTCGCGAACCATAACGAGTGGCCGTATACAAATAATTCGTCTTCTTTTTTAATTCATCGGTATATCACTGGGTAGAAATTGCTAAGAAATAATAAATTTATTATTTGTTTCGCCTAGGTTATACTTAAATATACTACAATGGAAAATGTTGCAATTTT